GGTGGAATCTTAGTGTTGTTTTCATCTGCATCTCTCGAATGACCAGTGATGTGGAACATTTTTTCATATATTTTCTTGCTGCTTTCACTTCTTTGTATGAGAAATGTCTGTTCATTTCGGATGCCCATTTTTGGATCGGGTCTTTATATTTGGGGGGACTGATTGTTTTGAGTTCTTTATATATCCTTGATAATAGTCCTTTGTCTGAGGTACAGCTGGTAAAAATTTTTTCCCACATTGTAGATTGTCTCTTAGTTCTAACTAAGAGACAATCATTACATTTATTTCTAATAATAATAATATGTATTATGATTGGGAAGCAAGATTGAGAATATTATTTCTTATGGCTATGAGCAAAACACGTTAATGGAAATACATGAAATCAACTGGGTTGGAATAGCTCTGCTATTGGAATGGCGTGGCTACAACATTCTGCTTCAGGTCAATGTTCTTTGTCCAATAAGGCACTGAATTCAAGACAACATTTGGGACAAATTTCCTGTCAAAAATGGAACTGACATAAAATAAAACACTCAGAAAACATATCTGTATCTTTGATAATGCTAGATGAAATATTGTCTGTACATAAGTCATGACAAAACATAAGGATAGTTATCATACGTGAAGGAATAAGTGATCAATGAGTAAGGATCAAAATATCTGCTGCTTCAAAGGATTCTTTCAGTATGTTGGGTAGCACCGGACTATCTATCTAGCAAAGTAGGCCCTGAAACTCTCCCTACACAAGTATTAATAATCTGATTTTGTTGTATAAGTTGAGTTTATATCATTTTAGTAGCTTAACTTCTCAGTCTTCCCTATTGATATAGCTGAAATTCAGCACTTCAAGTGTAATACATTTTCTTTCAAATTCTCTATATACTAATTGCAAATAAAGGAGTAAATAGTTTACACGACAGATTCCTCGATATCCAAGCACAACATTTAAGGATATGCATCAGAGGCTATTTTGATCAGTCATCAGAGAATATTAAAAAACCTTAGTGCTATCCTGGGCAATCCTTGGGGTCGCTCTCTCCTTGCCCACGAGTAGCAGCTCCCCTCAAATCACCACCAAACTCTCCTCAGTCCTTGGCAGACAACACTATTTCCTGTACACTAAGATGCTCTACGTATCCTCAAAGAATTCTCCCACTATCATTTCCATCACCTCTGACTAATATGCCACTCTACAACTCCTGTTTTGGTTCGTATTTCTCTATTTAGCCTAATTTCCTTCTAGGCTCTCTTTAATCTGATCTTGGACAATTTCATGTACACCCATGGCTTCCAAAACTGCTTTTATATTGATATTTATATCTTCAACCTGACCTTTCTCTGAGTTTCAGATGTTCCTTTTTCCAACTGTCTACTTCATTGGTGTCTATCTCTTGGGCATCCTAAACTCAACATCTTAAATTCAGTGCAAACAATTTATCATCTGCCTTCATTCTCCTTTCATCCAGTTCTTCTTCCATTGTACCCTGACCAGTTGCCAGCACTCTGCAAACAGTTAGAAGTCTTGGAGTCATTCTTGGGGCCTCTCTTCTCTTTCCCACACACAATCAATCCCTGAGTCCTATTTGTTTTTAGCTTTTACCTACCTTTCAAACCGGTCCACTTCTGTACATCTCCACTAGTGCGTACCCACACCCAAGCCCATACCATATAACAGCTTCTAACTAATTTGTCTACAAGCTCGCTTGCCTTCCTCTTCTATCAACACATTTCAGTAAGACAGCTAGAGGGATTTATTTATTTTTTTAAAGCTGGCAGTTTGTACGGAATGAAGTATTTATTGAAACCTATAAGATCTGCCATATCGAACCCAGTTTCTCTAGATTCACCTCTGTCAGTCTCTCTGAATTCACCTCCATATTTATTCCTTCTTTTGTGGGCTCCCAGGTACACCAGCCTCGGCACATAATCCATGCTGCCTCCAATGCTTGACCTTGTCTATTTTAACCCTGTTAATTCATAGCCTTCCTTCACAGACCATATCAATCTTTGCTTCCTCAGGAAAGCATCTTGTCTACAGCATATTAACTGAAGCCCCCAGTTCTATTGTCTCCTTTAATTTGTATTTTTCTTCAAATAATGACTGTACAGTTGCAGAGGTGTAAAAAATATAGTCCATATTTAAATTTTTTAAAAATTACCCCAAAAGACACTTTGCCCTTAATCCCCTTCAGAATATTTCCCTTCAATTGGAACATGTGTATCCTGTTGTTCTCACCACTTTCGGAAGCAGTTATAAAAGTCCTCTTTTGTAAGTATCTTTAGTTGTGCTGTCATGGCTGCCTTGATGTCCTGAATTGAGGCAGAACATTTGTTTTTTATAAATGACCATTTTGACTTGGGAAAGAGCTAGAAGTTGCATAGTGTCAGATTGTCTGGTGGATAAGGTGCATGAGGGCATGCTGTAATATTTTTATTTGACAGAAATTGCCATAAATGTTTTGAATTGATTCAGGACCTCAAGGCAACCATGAAAAGACACCTGTGAAAAGAGTACTTCAGAAAGTGGCATGGAAAAGTGTGTGAAGTGTGTGTGTGTGTGTGTGTGTGTGTGTGTGAGAGAGAGAGAGAGAGAGAGAGAGAAGGAAAGACAGTGACAGAGAGGAATATTTTGAAGGAGGATAAATAATAATGTGTCACTGTAATCATTTAAAAATATTTTATGTAAAAATTCATTATAACTTTGATCTCACTGTTACCAGGCTGGGGATCTTGTCCCAGTTCATGATGTCCTGAATAAAGTATTGAGCAAGACACCCAAGAATTGCAGTAGAATCAATGATTTATTTGAAAGAGGAAAGACAAGGTGTATTCCACCAAGTGGGAGTTGGCCAGTGAGAAGAGCTCAAGGCATCAAGAGAGGCTTGATGTTGAGGATTTTAAAGCTCAGGGTTTGCGGTGGGATTGAGGGCTTGGACTGAAATGTGACTTCTGCCAATGAGTTGCTTGACTCAGCCCCTCCATCAGGTGGTAGAGTTTGCCATTTTATGGCCCTTGGAGGAACCATCATGGCACCCAAAGCCCACATAGAAGTCAAATCTGAATAGTCAATGACGTGGTACTTAGGGTTGGGGTCAGCTGAGGGTTGCAGAAGACCAGAGGGGACTTATCATGTATAATCTAAGTTACCTGCATTTTACCATTGTGTTTAGACCTGGGTATCCTGGTGATGTGTTGATATAAACTCAGAAGGTGAAGCTAGTTCCAGAAAGTGGGATCCAAAATGGACCTGCACACCCTCTCCCCACCTTTAGATATTTTCTTGGTTATCTTGCAACTCAGATATAGCTTGGAAAGCAGGCTCTAAGGCAGGACGACCCTCCTTTTTCAAAGCCATTTATTCTAGCTACTTCCTGTCTTAACACTTACAATATGTGTAAATGATTTTGCTTAAAATTTATATCCCTTCTGATCTGTGAGTTCTACAAGTTTCTATTATGTTTGCCATGTAACCTCAATCCAGCACAGTGCCTGACACCTAGAAAAGAAGTCAATAAATATTTGTGAAATGAATAGTTACCTATCACTTATTTTACTTCACCCAGTAAGACATTAATTCAATCTCTTAAAATATTTCTAATCAGATCTAAATGCTACCATCTTTTCCTCAGACTGTTATGACACTTTCCTAAATGGCTTCCTTTCAATCAGCATAATATTTGAAAATGTTAACTGTTTCTGGCCTAAATTACCCAAGTATGGTTACTATGAAATTTGACCAGAAAGTCTGTTGTTTTTATTGTGTGTTTGTTTTTGGTTCCAAATATCTGGCACCATGTTTGATAAACCTTCAGATATTTTGTGTCTGTGTTTGTCTTTGGAACATTTCCCTATAGACTCACTTTAAGGTGTCTTTTCCATTTTGAATATCAAAATCAAACTTCCCCTCTCTGAATCCCAGAATACCCATGGACATTAAAAAGTTATTTATGGGGTGGGGATTTAGCTCAGTGGTTCTGTCACCTGCCTCACAAGCAGCAAGGGCCTGAGTTTGATCTCCAATACCAAAAAAAAAAGTTATTTAAATTCCAAGGTTTCTCTCTCAGTGATCTTACTGTTTGACATTAATAATTAACAACTATTTTAAACAAATTCTTCATGCTGAGTTCACAAAAAAGCAGAGCAGTTTCAAAAAGATTGTGTCAGTGATCCTACGCTGCTCCAGCCATGCAAATTTTAAGCATAGTTTGTCTTTTTTTCTACTTGGGAGGAAGTTGGGGTCAGGAGCAAGTGTAAGTGAAAGATATTATTTTCATTTGAAATGTATTTTAGTTGTAATTTTATAGAAAGCAGAATTCAATCAATGTCTGATGAAATTAATTTTTGATTCCTGAGGCACCCAAGTGAATGTCTTTCCTCTGTTCCACTGCTGCTAGTCTGTGTTTTAATACAAGCACTTTGTGAGATATGCATGACTTGTACCCTGATACAGCGCTTGTATCCTCTAATACAATGCTCTCATATGTGCCTCTAGGGAAGAGTAAGTCTCTGATTGCTATTTTGTTTGAAAGTGGATTAGTCAAAAGACAGAATTATGATCTGTATTTACACTTCTTTTTTTTTTAATTTTTTTTTCAGCTTTAATTGAGTTTATTGGTACATTTTAGGGATACAGTATAGTTACATTCATTGTTGGGATCATGTACCTCTACATGACAAGTCTTGATTCTCATTTTTTCCCCTTACCTCTGCCCTCCCTTCACCCCCTCCTCCCCTCCCCATCTACAAACACTTTATTTTCATCTTTTCATTCTCTCACATTTTTTTCTTTTCCCTTTTTACTCTTCTCCTACCCATCACACCTTCCCTATACCTTTAGCTCCTTCTTCCCATTTCTAAATGTCAGTAATCTTATTAGAATCTTATGCATTGTTGCAGATTATTCACACCAGGGACACTATTCGGTATTTATGCATGTGTGACTTATTTATTTCACTTACTAAAAGAATCATATCACAGAGAAGTATGTGCACCCATGTTTATAGCGGCACAGTTTGTAATAGCTAAATCTTGGAAACAGCCTATTTGCCCATCCGTTGGAAACTGGATAAAGAAGTTGTGGTTTTTCTATAAAATGGAATATTACTCAGCCATAAAGAACAAGAAAATGGATACATATTGAAGATATACTCCTAAGTGTATTTACACTTCTTATAGGGAGTTCTATTAAACATTTCCGAGATACAGCTGATCAAGATCACTTTTATCTACCTTCTTGAAATCTCATTCCTCACAATGTTTTCTGTAAATATCCTGGCTTTACTACAGCTAACAAACTTTTGGGAAATAAAAAATATATTGCTTTAAAAAATGTTGACAATTTATATTGATCCTATGAAGTGAAAATATTTAAACTCCTATTAACATATTGACTGTATAATTTTACTGTTTCAACAGGTATGTTGTCTCAGCCCCGAAAGTATTCTATCTTGGAACGTCTGAAAATGTAGTAATTCAGGCTCATGGATACTCAGAATCATTTTCTGTGATTATTGCTATTAAAAGTTATCCTGACAAAAGTTTTACATATTCTTTTGACCAAGTTGATTTATCTCCAGAGAATGAATTTCAAAACTCTGCAAACTTAACTGTAGGTATTCTTATATTTTATTTTATATGTAAACCGTTTCTTTGTTAAATCACAAATAGATGGTCCACTGATCCATTTTATGTGTGAATAAAAGTGTGATATATCATATTTTTAAGTGAGATGACCAGATACTGTGAGATGAGTGTCACTGCATTCATATTTATGGTAATTTGTAAAGGTTAAATGGAGAATCTGTTTTTGCTTTGGGGTTTCTTTTGTTTGTTTTTTTTTTGGGGGGGTTGAAACAGGGTCTCACTATGTAGTTGAGACTGACCTGGAACTCATTTTGTAGCCCAGGCTAGTCTCGAACTCACAGTGATCCTCCTGCCTCAGCCTCCTGAGTGCTGGGATTACAGGCATGCACCACCATGCCTGGCCGAGAATCTGTTTTTGATTTGGAGACAATTAAAGAACTGTGAAAGCCTGAGTAAAGTAGGTAATGGCTGTTAAGATGAAAATATTTGGTGATACCAGTTGAAAAGTAAATCAATCAATATATATATATATATATATATATATATAACTGGGTCAAAATTGTATGATAGCTACAAGGAAGACATAATTTACATACTTAAACCTTATATAATATTAGGATTGAACATATATACACAAACATATACATACAAACACACATAAAAACATGGGGTTTGCATCTGGCCTAAAAAATGAATGAAGATATTTTGAACATTTGTTTTTCTAAACTATATACTACCATATTTTAGTGTTTTAAAAAAAATTTTCACCTAAAACATGTATCTATAGACTTTTTATACTTTCTCTTTGTATTTGGACCAAACATTTTTTCTTTCAAATTTGTGAACATTTTAGGAAAATTAGAGAAGTGTTTATTATTTTTTGCTTGTTTGTTTTTTTGAGACAGGGTCTCACTATGTAGTTGAGTCTAACCTGGAACTCACTATGTAGCCCAGGCTGGTCTCGAACTCACAGCAATCCTCCTGCCTCAGCCTCCCAAGTGCTGGAATTACAGGCATGCGCCACCATGCCCGGCTGAGAAGTATTTATTATTATAAAATATATTGACCCAATGTAATATATTTGAATAAGGCCACATACTAATTATATTATGATTAACAAACATGAAAAACATTATTAAAAGATTTAGACTTTTACCACAATTCCAAATATAAAATTGCAAATATGAAGAATATTTTGTTTATTCATACCACCAAGTGACAAGTCATTTAGTCCATTGTCTACCTGACAGAAATCTCCCACCTCAATTCTCTTATGCTTCTATTACTGATAAGCTTTTGAATTTCTGATCTTTTCTTTTTTCTTGCTGGTATCAGAGATTGAACTCAGGACCTTGGTCTTATGAAGCAGGCGCAGTGCCACTGAGCTAAATCCTCGGCCCTATTTCTGGTCTTTTCTTAGTGAATTTTGGTTATTTTGTCCAATAAAAATTTATTTTTTCAGTGATTGTTATTTTTAAGAGACATTGAATTGGATCATTTTCGAAAGTCTGCCCGTCGTAGGAAGAAAATGTCTGAAGGAGTAGGGAAAGTGGGAGGGGTAGGGGAAAGGAAAGGAGGGAAAAGAAAAATATGAGAAAAGGAAAAACATGGAAACAAAATCTTTGTTAATAGGAAAGGGTGTAGGGGGTGCAGGGAGGGCAGGGGAATGGGGAAAAATAAGAACCAAGATAGATCATGTAGGGGTGCAAGATCCCAAAGTTGAATGTAACTGTATTGTATACTTAAAATGTACCAATAAATTTAATGGAAAAAAAAGAAAGTCTACATTTCAAACTAAAAGTTATAAGGCACTAAAATACAAAAGTATTAATTTACTGTGTTAATTTTTCAAGATTTTATGCTTATTGGATATAATGAAATTATTAGCTTAAATATCTAAAAAAGCAGTGTTTTACTTTTAAGATTATTATATATTATTATATATTTCTCCCTTAACATTTTTCTTCCCTTAACTTTTTTTAAACAGATACAACCAAAAGATTTATCTGGAGGGCCAAATACAGCTTCACATGTATATTTAGAAGTTATATCAATGCATTTTTTAAAAGAAACAAAAATTCCCCTGCGCTATGACAATGGATTTCTTTTTATTCAGACGGACAGATCTGTTTACAATTTGGACCAATCAGGTATAACAACAACAAAATTTTTTTCCATTGCGGAAAAGTGGGATGATCTTGTAAATATTTTGGGGGCACAGGGGTGTCTTTTGGGAAAAACATGAAAATAAGATGTTCCTTTATATTATACACAGAAACAAGGAGCTAATAAACTGAAGATTAAATTATAAATTGTAGAAACAAAGAATAAGAAAAATATGCACCTTTTAAAGGTGGAATTAGAAAACACCTTTTGTAGAATGATGCTAAGGTGTCTTTCAGATTTGGATTTTTGTAACGAAGGAAACCATGGAGAAACCTTGACGGAGAGCAGACGATGTGCAGAATGTGACGATGCACTATAAAGTCACAGTTGATAAAGAGCCTGCATTTTAACTTAAAAAAAAAATCCTTTTTTGTCCTCAATAATGTGTCTTCTTACAAATATTTCACTTTTATGTTAACTTTAAGAGTTGTGAAATAAGTTGCAAAGTTCCCCTAGCAATGTCTGTTGCCTTATCTTTTATTTGGAGGTTTCCGTCTTTTTTCAGTAAATTCCTTCTTACAAGTTTAGCTCAGGGAGGGAAGGAAACTCCAGCTAAGTGGGTTAGACTGAGAGCAAGAGCAGTTGATGAACGAGCACTGACTGTGACGGTGGGTGATGATGCTGAGTAGGTGAGATGAGCTGGACGCCAGCACAATTTCAGCAACGGGGCAGAGTCCCCGCCAGTACACGTGGCCTTAGCCGGGATGAGAGCCATCTTTTGGTATCTGCTCAGCGGAAGACTGTGTGTTTTAGAAGAGGTCACGTCTGTGAGATTTTCATCCTTCAGAGTGCTCAAGTACTTAATTATATTTTTAGATATGCAGATTCTTGCTCTCACCTTTCTGCGATTTACAGAATGTTTCATTGACTGGATTATGTCCATATAACTTACTTTCAGTTCTTCCTCTCTATGATAACTTCAGATACTAATGAGCAGATGTCTCTCTCATCTAGCATGGATTAAAAAATACAAAAACTCAAGTAAAAATAGTTCTTAATATGTTAATTCATGTTTCAAATGCATAAAGATAAATATTTCAAAGAATCTATCCAGGAATTTTTCTTAGAAAATAATGTTCTCCCCTACTTTAATAAAAGTTAAATTTCATCATCACAATATGAACTTTTAAGTTTGGATTTTATGTTTTGAGCTTTCTTACTTTTTTATTTTTGTTTTGGTTTTTATTTTATTTGTTTATTTTTGGTACCGGGGATTGAACTCAGGACTTTGTGCTTGCCAGGCAGGTGCAATGCCACTGAGCTACATTCCCAGCCCTTACTTTTATTTTTTATTTATTTATTTATTTTTTTAGTGGTGGAAAGGTTTATTTAGCTCAAAGTTTTAAACGTCCAGTCCAGTCAATAGTTGGCTGGCTCTAAGGCAAGGTAGCATGGCAGAGGGGCACCACAGAGGAGAAATTTCTTGGACCTTGTATTAAAGAGTTACTAATAGTATTGTCAGATCACTTAGAATTGAATAGCTTCTAACAGCGGAAATTTTTCTTATAGTGAAAGTTAGAGTTTACTCATTGGATAAAGACCTAAAACCATTTCCAAGAGAAGTTACTTTGACATTTATTGTGAGTATACCATTACTTTAAATTGAAATTTAACCCTGGCATTTCAATTAGTCGAAGAATTTTCATTATTCTAAAATGAATCATTTCTGACATTAAGTTATTCAATATTAAATTATAGGAAGCATTTATTTGGCACTTATTGTAAGTAGAACCTGGTAATTTATACTTCTCTGGTCTTATAATAATTTTTGTGCATAATTAAACATGGAAACATTTAATGGCTCCATTCAAGAACACCTTTTGATGGTCCATCTCTAAAGTGAATCAGATGATGATTTTGTATCCTCTTGTTATCTATGAGCAAGGGCAGATGTGATAAGGGTGGAAGAAACATAAAATGAAGTACTTATGAGCATGCATCACATGCATTATGTTGTCATAACAACCATAATGAATCAATATCATTTCCACGTTTTATAGAACAGAAGGCTAAGAGTTAGAGAGATTAAACACCGACTAATATCCTCCTGATAATAATCAGCTGAATCAGGATTTAAACCGAAGCTTATCTCCATAGCCTTAGTACTTGTCTTCTCTCCTTTGATGTGGGGGATTTTGGTGTCCCTCTATGAGCACCTGAATTTGGAAGGCCAGAACAGCATACATAATACATAGCAAGCCAAGTAAGGAGTGGTGTAAAACCTACTATAGCAAACCAGCTTGAAGGGAAAGCAACACTGAAGATGAAGTGCCCCCCTCTCTGGAAAGAATTGCTAAAGGACAAGGGTGCATTCTCATCTGGGTCTTAAAGGAAACCATGGAGAGGGCTTGACAGAGAGAAGCTGGTGTGCAGAAGAGTAGAGGTCTGAGCTGGGTGTGATGTTGCTTTCCTGTGATTCCTCCAGTCTTGAGGGAAGCTGACACAGGAGGATTACAAGCTCAAATATCATCTGAACAACTTAATGAGAAACCCTGTCTCAAGGTAAAAGCAGCCAGGGATGTAGCTCAGTAATATAATGTCCCTGTCTTGATCTTTAGTAACTCACACACTCACACACACACACCCATGTAGAGGTCTGGACCCAGAAGAAGATGGCAGGTCATTGAGTTGACAGTAACAGTGGCATGGCTATAACTAACCAGCCTGGAAACACTTTTGGGAGAGACATTATCAGATTTGATGAACTACCATGGTCTGTGATTGGGGAGTTATGCTGGGACAGTCAGGACCTGGTGAACTTGTCATAGATTCTGCTATTTGCTTGTTACACTTCCTTATGGAGCACAGAAATGGAACATATGAAAGGCGATTGCTGTGGCAGGTCTGCATGTGTTCGGACTTGATACCAAGGAGAACAGGGAGCCAAGGGAGCCTTTGGCTATGTAGTGAAATTATCAAAATGGTGTTTGGGAAGGTCACTGTAGAAGTCCTGTTCAAGAAGGAGGGCTATGGGGAAGAGAACTGCTAGGATATCTTAAATATTTATAGTTCTATGTATGCCTGTTTAAAATAAGCCTTCGTACTGTTGACAGTAGTCTTTGCTAACAAGCCTGACCAGCATGAGTCACCGTCTCAACACTAGACCAATAAGACATGAGCTAACGTTTCTTAGAACATGTTAACGCATATGTCTATAAGAACTGTCATGCACATATTATGCTTATGTGTAGCTTCTGTATTTATAAGTTGTTAAGAAAATATTAAACTTAATTTTTTGTTTTTCTTTTTACTTGAAGAATCCAGAAGGGTCAGAAGTTGTCACCGTAGAAGGAAAAAGTCATACTGGGATTGTCACTTTTCCTGACTTCAAGATCCTATCTAATCCTAAGTATTTTCAGTTATTTGTTGGTTAAGTTGTTCTTAAAATCAATGGAGACACGTGGAAGCTATTGAACAGTCAAATGAACCACTTACATGTTAACAGAAAGGTAGCAATGAAAGAAAGTTTGTTTTAGCTATTATTAGGACTAGAGATGTCCTAGCCCAAGGGGAGGAGGGATCTGCTTGAGCTCTTCTGCATCCAGGCAGGGGCTGATATAATATTTCCTACTACCAGCACCAAGGTAGTCTATTCTATCCAGTTTAGGTCTCCCACAGGAAGTCTAGGAGCCAGACACTATGGAAACACAGACCCTGCCCACAAAATGCCAAGCGCACAATGGCAAAACAAAATGGGGGGGGGCAAAGGAAAGAAAAGAAAATGTCCACCTAGTAAGACCCTGTCTCAAAGTAAAAACAATATATATTCCGCATGTCATAAAGGGTTTGGGGCTTTCTTTGACATTTTAATAACATTTCTAAACCTTGGATGATATTTTGAAATAGGATTTCAGACTTTCATGTTACATAATGCCTTGCGAGTGTAACATGTCAATACATTATGGCAACTGGCATTTATTGAGTCCCTACTATCTGTTAAGCACTCTGCTGGGTCCATCACTGTCATTTCTGAGATAAGTAAACTCAAGATCATACAATCATTAAATGGGAGGAGGGCAGACATGATAACTCTGAACACTAAAAGGCAAAGCTCATCTTTGATCTTGGCTTCTACCAGATTTCCCCCTAAAAATAATGACATTCTGGCTTTGAGTTGTAAAAGTTCTAAAGCTATGTATTTGTATCATTTAAGTAAATTTAACCTTGAAGTGTTCCCAAAAATAAGGTCCTGATTTCCTGGCAAACTATACAATATATTATAGTTCATGATATGATGAAGTTCAAGTTTGGTTCATCAATTGAATGATCAATATTTAAATATTGAAAAATGTAAAATCCTTTCCAGTTAAACATACACAGCATGATCATCTACTAGAGGAAGCATCCGTACTATGAAGATGATTTCAGGCATATACAACAGTTTTTCCTAAAATGCATATTTTTGTTGATAACTTTAATACATCTTTCAGATATTATATATTAATTAGAATGTGCAGAAAAGTGAAGCTGCTGTCAGGGTCATCTGAACATGGAGTGTGGTCTAGGGTTTTAGAGTCAGAATGACAAATTTAAATACCACCCTTACCACCTACCAGCTGTTTGTCCCCAGGCAAGTTATTTCATCTGTCTGAACCTCAGTTTTTTTATGGTAATATGTGAATAATAATGGAATTTATTATTCTAATAATAGAACCATGTATTTGCATGAGGATTGAAGGAGCTCACACATATAAAACATTTATTCCTTGGCCCATACTAAGGCACTATAATTATTAGGTAAATTAAAGCTATATTATTTGATGATATGTACATTTTAAATGTGTTGCTTTTACAGTTACGGCGTTTGGACAATTAAAGCTAAATATAAGGAGGACTTTACAACAACAGGGACCACATCTTTTGAAGTTAAATCATCTGGTAATATCTAATACATTTTTGAGATTTCACCAATGTGTTTTTAAAAACCGTTCTGCATGACTTTATAGAGTAAAAATTAAGTAAAAACAAAGGGTGTGTCAGACAGAGGTGGACTGGGAGTAAGACAGCTGCAGTGCTGGGTCTGCCCATCTGGTTCACCTCCATCCAGGCACTGAACTCTGTGCCATGCTTTTTCCTTATGAGTTGTACAGATGGTCACATCAGGTTAAATAATATCCTTGCACTACCCATCATTCTTGGACATGGTGAGAGATTGTCCAATCTGATCCTTTTGTCCAGGTCCTCACGATTGCTTTGCCTAGACCAAGAACCAGAATGCTACCTGTGTTAGTTGCCTTTCTGTCACTGTGATGAAATACCTGAGGACAACTTAAAAAAAGAAAGGTTTATTTGGACTCAGAGTGTCAGAGCTTCATTGCTTTCAGGTTTGTGGTGAGCATGGTGGATGAAAGCTGTTCAGAGAACACTAGAATGTGACAGTGGCCTCCCTCTTCCACCTTTGTTTCATCCAGGCTCCCCCTCTAGAAGATGATGCTCCTCATTCACCGCAAGTGTCCCTGATGAGTTTGCTGTCCCGTGTGGCAATGGTCCCTGGAAACACTCTCACAGACACACCCAGAAGTGTGCTTTACTAATTTCTTGGGTGTTTTCCAATCTAATCCTGTGGTCAATCGAGATTAACCATCATGTTACCTTTGAACCCCAAACGCAGGGCTTTTTCCCATCAGCCCTAAAAATCAATGCTGTACTGGAAAATGACCACGTTTGGGAAAACACTTCTTTTGGAACTGCTTGGATTAATTGTGCTAATAATTAACTTATAAAAATTCCCATCATTTCTCATAAGAACATACTAGGAAGTCAGTTTGTATGTAAAGCTGTTATTACACCATGTTTTCTTTTCTCATATTTTTTTCCTTTCTCTTCTTTCTTTTCCCCACCTCTACCCCTTCCCCTTTCCCACTTCCCCGACCTCCCCAGACCTTTCCTTCCTATTTCACATTATCAATTACACATTTTGATCATTATTTACACTTTTAGTTTCTCACACCAGAGAAACTATTTGGTATTTACACGTGTCCTGTTTATTTCACTTAAGAGTATGGGCTCAATGTGTGCATCCATTTAGCTATAAATGTCTTTAGTTTCTCATTCTGTATGGCTGAGTACTACTTCGTTTTATGGAAAAAAAAATCTTCTTTATCCAGTCTCCAGTTGATAAGCAATTGGACTGTTTCCAAGCTTTAGCTATTACAAACTGTTCCACTATAAACATGGGTGCGCATATATCGCAGTGGTATGATTCTTTTAATTCTTTTTGGAAGATACCCAGAAGATGGATAGCTGGGTCGAATGGGACCTGTAATCTTACTTTTTAAGGTATCTCCATATTGATTTCCACAGTGGTTGCACCAGTCTGCACTCCCACCAACAAAGGGGAAGGGTTCCTTTCTCCCCACAGCCCTGCCAGCATCTGTTATTGGTTTTAATTTCTTGATAGCAACCATTCTTTCTGGGAAGACGTAGAATCTCAGTGTTGTTTTCTTCTGCATCTCTAGAATGACCAGTGATGTTGAACATTTTTTCATATGTTTATTTGCTGCTTTTAATTTTTTGTCTGGAAATGTCTGTTCATTTCACATGCCCATTTTCAAATTGGATCTTTAAATTTAGAAGGTCTGATTTTTAAAATTTCTTTGTAAATTCTTGATAGTAGTCCTTTTTCTGAGGAGCAGCTGGTAAAAATTTTTTCCCATATTGTAGGTTGTCTCTTAGCTCTGTTGGTGGTTATTCTTGCAGTACAGAAGCTTTTTAATAAGATGAGATCCCAGTTGTTGATTCTTTTTACTAGTTCCCATGCTACTGAGGTTTTGTTCATAAAGTCTTTTTCTATGCCAGTGTCTTTAAGAGTTCTACCTAATTTATCTTCCAACAAGTTTAGTGTTTCTCTTTTAATATTTAGATCTTTAATCAACTTTGATTTTAGTTTAGTGCATGGTGAAAGATAGGGGTCTAGTTTTAGTCTATGGAAAGTTGAAATCCAGTTTTTCCAGAGCCACTTATTAAAGAGGCTATCTTTCATCCAGGATGGGTGGTTGGCTCCTTTGTCAAAGATGAGGTAGCTGAATATGTCTGGACTTGTTTCTGCATCTCCTAATCTATTCCACTGATCCTTGGGTCTGTTTCTTTGCCTGTACCATGCTGTTTTTTTTTTAAATCACAGTGGCTTCATAGTATAGTTTCAAGTTGGGGATGATACCCCTGTCTTGACTCTTTTGCCGAGAATTGCTTTTGCTATTCTAGGTCTCTTCTTCCAAATGAATTTTTGGATTGTTTTCTCTAATTCTGTGAAATATACTGTTGGAATTTCAATTGGGATTGCATTGAATCTAAATAACAGTTTTGAAAGTATGGCCATTTTTGCTATATTGGTTCTCCCTACCCAGGAACAAGGGATGTCTTTCCATTTTCTGATTTCCTCTTCAATCTCTTTTTTTTCACAGTGCTGTAGTTTTCAATGTAGAGATCTTTTGATTCCTTCATTAGATTGATTCCTAGATATTTCATTTTTTGGAAGCTATTGATTATACCATGTTTTCATCCTATCAGTTAGACAAGGAAGCAGAGAGATATTTATAATTAGGAAATAAAGGCAAGCACATGTAAAATTTTGAAATATTTAACATGTTAAACCTACCCCAGTGAAATACCCTCTGAATCAATGGGACTCACCGTTGGAGTTTCTTATTAGCTCTCTTGGACACTGTTCATAGTGCAAAGTCCTTGCTCTGTTTTTATGGCACACACCACAGAGCAATTTTCCCAGGCACAAAGAGAAGCGGCCAGAAGAGTGAGATGTTTGCTTTGCTCTTCTATAGCCAGCTCCCCAATGCTCGCCCTGGTCACCCTCGAGCCAAGTCTCCCTTCTTTCTTCAAATTCAGCTTCCCTCTGCTTCAGTTCCCATCTTTGATAAATGATGTTTTCAATAGCTGATAAGAAGAACCTACCTTCCCTATGTGAGATTTTGAATTTGTGTTAATATTTGGGACACTGAGTGAAAGAGAATTGCTTAACACATGAGAGGTACTAAAGAAGCGATTTCCAATTTCATAGCCATTTATCCCCCTTGTACCATATGGAAGGCATCAGGAGAAGCTTTACACAGACAAACACAATCAGGACCTTGTCCTTACAGAGCTCATACTCTGACAGTAACACAAGTGGTTTAATGTAGAGTAGGGCTTCTGAAGAAGAGAGGTGAGATCAATCACTGGAAGTTCATAAGGATTCTCAGGGGTATCGATGATAATCACGATGAGGGAAGAATGCCGATGTTGGTGAGGTTCATCGACTCTACTATAACCATAAAAAAAGATTTTAAGATTACTATAAGTGCTAGGTAAGAAACTTTCAAATTTCAGACTCACGTGGCTCCAGAATGGCAAACACATTTCATTTCAAGGGTCAAATTTAACTAGTTAGTAGTGTTTCACTGAGACTGTTTGAGAAAGATTCTGAGGTTCAGTGTTTTAAAAAAAAAACTATAATTAATGCCATAGTTGTGGGAAGAGGATCGAAGCAAATTTGCCTGACGTATATTTTCTGATTCTAATCTTGCTGTTGTCATAAAATCTCATATGCAAATAATTCTAAAGATTGAATATTATAGTGACTTTGCATGTAATTACATTGCTCAAGTACCAAAAATATGTGAAACTATTCGCATCTTTCTTATTTATGGCCTATTTTATATAAATTGATTGTCCAAAGCTGCTATGAATTTGATTGTACTAGCCCCCAATCCCACTTTGCGATGAGCTATGTACAATTGCTTTGGAATTGGAACACTGGCTTGCCTGCTTTATATTTACATAAGGAAGTTTTAGATGTTCCATCTCTTGGTAACCACGACTACAAGCAATACCTGTTGGACTATTTAGGTCTATTTTTTTCCTTATGCTCATTCAAAAAGTGGTGCTAGGCTTCCCAATCCTATTTTTTCACGCACTGTTCTGCAGACTGCTCAGTCCAGTAGGAGAAGAGTATACTTGAAGAAGGGAGACTCACTCTTCTGGCTGCTTCTCTTTGTGCCTTGCAAAATTGCTCTGTGGTGTGTACCATGAAAACAGAGCAAGGACTTTGCACTATGAACAGTGTCCCAGAGAGCTAATAAGAAACTCCAAAGGTGAGTCCCATTGATTCAGAGGGTATTTCACTGGGGTAGGTTTAACATGTTAAATATTTCAAAATTTTACATGTGCTTGCCTTTATTTCCTAATTATAAATATCTCTGTGCTTCGTTTAACCAATAGGCCAAAAACGGTGTAATAACAACTTTACATACAAACTGACTTCCTAGTATGTTCTTATGAGAAATGAATGGGAATTTTTATAAGTTAATTATTAGCACAATTAATCCAAGCAGTTCCAAAAGAAGTGTTTTCCCAAACGTGGTCATTTTCCAGTACAGCATTGATTTTTAGGGCTGATGGGAAAAAGCCCTGCGTTTGGGGTTCAAAGGTAACATGATGGTTAATCTTGATTGACCACAGGATTAGATTGGAAAACACCCAAGAAATTAGTAAAGCACACTTCTGGGTGTGTCTGTGAGAGTGTTTCCAGGGACCATTGCCACACAGGACAGCAAACTCATCAGGGACACTTGCGGTGAACGTGGTCACATCATCTTCTAGAGGGGGAGCCTGGATGCAACAAAGGTGGAAGAGGGAGGCCACTATCACATTCTAGTGTTCTCTGAACAGCTTTCATCCACCATGCTCACCACAAACCTGAAAGCAATGAAGCTCTGACACTCTGAGCCCAAATAAACCTTTCTTTTTTTTAAGTTGTCCTCAGGTACTTCATCACAGTGACAGAAAGGCAACTAACACAGGTAGCATTCTGGTTCTTAAGAAAGTAGAGGTGAGATCTTAAACTTATTCATGAATTCATTTCTTAAGGTTCTTTCTTATTCCAGAGTTTGAATAAAAATCTGCAACTTATTGGTATAACGTTGGCAAATACAGATATGGTTGACCAAAATATTGTCCACCAGCACCATATAGGAGAAATGTTCATGAAATACATATTTCTACAATGATGATCCCCTAGTCCTATTCACATGAGACATCTTTTTATGTTATTGAAATGACCCGTAATGCTGGTACCAGAAAATTTTACTTGTAACAAATAAATGAGATTGTAAATTATTCCCATTATGAAAGCATCTCTGCTTCATTTTTATATTGGATTACATATTATTAAATATTTAACACACATCTTTTACCATATTACTTGTTTATCTTGTCTTGGAGATAAGAGTCATCTATATTTCACATGTGTCTTCTTTTATCAATTTCTTGGATTCATGAGGTTTTGATCTGGTTATGTGAAGAAAAAAGTGGGATAAATGATATGACAAGTGGTGTGGACACTGACTGAAACAGACACATGGGCATCTTATCACCTCCTGTGAATCACACTTTACTAATTCACAAAGTGGCCACAGCGAATTATCCAACATGAGTTAATAATTTTGTGCGAAGTGGCCAAAGTATAAATGAATGACCTGTCCTTATCTAAATAAAAGAATGACTGGGGACCCACCCAAACCATTGTACTATGTTGCATTTGTCCAGATTTTCAAAACAATGCATGTTATTCCAGGGGGCAGATTCTTCACAAAAACCAAAAAAGATGAAGTGAAACATGGTCTGCCTTCCTACACACTGGATTTGGTTGCTACTCCTTGTTCTTTGAAGCCTGGAATTCCATATTTTATCAAGGTGAGATGACTAGAAAATCTCATATGGCTGCATTTTCTCATTTACTGATGTTACTTCATCTATGGAAGAATGGAAGAAAAGAATCCCAGAGAGAATTATGAGGGCTGAAGAACAGGACAAGGTGACCGGTGAGAGTAGGATACAGAACAATAGCTCAGATCCAGGCCTGGTAATAATTTCACCTAACTGATGGCTTAGGCTTCAATAAACAGCACAGAGCCTTGTTTTTATTAAACATTAATATCCATCACTGAATTGAATTAAATGTAATCAATTGTATCTTATGTGCCTGGAGTGATGAAAACATAGTATTAAGATAACCATAATCCTACCAAAAGTGTGCTTGGGAACAAAGGAAGCAACTATTTTAAGATTTATTTGTTGCAATGGAATAAATATTAACTGTTGCGATGGATTTGGTCCAACAGGTGCAGGTAAAGGATAACTTTGCCCGTTTTGTAGGAGGGACTCCAGTAATCCTGAAAGCAAAAATGATAGATAAAACTCAGAATAAAAGAGATCTGGATCCAAGGACGAGTACAACAAATCACGGTGGCATAGCTTCGTTTATGCTCGATATTCCCACTGATGTGACAGCTCTGGAGTTTCACGTAAGCAGAATTCCCATTTGTCGTGCTTTCTAATATTGCCCCAGCCTGTGTGGTAGTGATTATTAAGGACAGATGGGGAAGATTTTATGAATAGTTAGTGAACTGTTTGGAAAAAACTTTCTGAGAACAGAAAATACAATTTAGTATACTCGCCATTTCATAAAGGATCTAGGTTCATCTATTTTGTATTGAGAGAATTTTTTCTTATGCTAAATACAAGACTGAATCTGAAAAGTTGAGAGCAAGAATGGCCACTGGAATATAAAAATGCTAACAGAATCTTTTTTATCCATTATTTCCAGCTCTCAGCATCTTTCCCTAACTTCCCTGACATGGCTGCTACTCTGAAGAAATCACCTGCATGCTTTCCCCTCTCAAGTTCCCCCAAACTGCTGAGATCTGGCTTCTGCCCTTATGAGTCCACTGAAAGTGAAGGAGCTGCTTGCCAAGACCATCAAATATTCTTCATCCTCATCTTTCTTGCCTTCTCTGAGACATTTAGTACCACTGACTATTTTTTTAAACAGTCTATTATGGTCTTCATTTTTCCATGTTTCTTTTCTTTCCATTCTTTCATTCTTCATAGCCTCCATTTTGAACCTGCAGTCCCTGTCTACCTTCTGCGGGGGTGGGGGTGGATTTTTCAGGGATCTACCCAGACCTTCCTCTCTTCTCAGGTGACACACTCCTAATTTATATTTCTTCAGTGATTCCATCATGCTAAAAATTCAAGAAGCTTATAACACTGCTTTTGCATATCTTTTTTCTTGACTGGTTCAAAGAAGCAAAAATATTACTTTGCCCCCAAATTGAGGACTGCCTGCCAACCTCAAACCTGGACCCTTCCCTATTTCAGTGGATGCCCCCAAAAGCCGCCCAGTTCCTCACTCTCCTCCCAGTTACTCCCCTTCTTGTGGAAAGAGGTATGGGATGATCATTTTGAGACACAAATCTGAAAATCTGACTTTGATTAACCTTGTTTCTGCTTAGCTTTACAAACTGACTGCTCACCACTTTCCATCATCCTCCTGACTCTAGCATTCTGGATAGTGGCAGCTTCCTAACAGCCTGATTTCTATCATTGCAAAGACTTTGTACCTCCTAAATGGGACAGCTCTTCAGTTTATTTCCCTAACTCTTACTTATTTGGATATTAGCTGTTAGCTCCATCCTTCAAGGAATCTGCTCAAGGGGTAGATTGTTCCTGCACCAACTCTGTCTCACAGATTTTGAGTTTCTCAAAGACAAGAGCTACGCCTATCTTGTTCACCTTTTTGTCCTTGGTAACTAGCATAGTTTCTTACACATCTTAGTAAATATTGGTTGACTGAACACATGATATACCTGTTTTTAGACTTAATCAGGATGAAATATCAGCAAATAGTATCTAATTGTTCAGCTTCAAATGAAACATAGATGGTTCCAGACTCTTGTTCAAGAGCTAGAAAAGCATGGAACATATACATGTATAGGCTGGACCTACAACTATGTTAAATACAAGTGGAGAAAATAGACATCGATGTTTTTTTCTTGATCTTAGAGAAAAAGCCTTCACCATTTCGCCATTGAGTATGATGTTAGCTGTGGCCTTGCCATATATCTATGCCCTTTGTTGTATTAACTTACATTCCATCTACTGTAGTTTGTGGAGAGTTTTAATAAGAAATGATGCTAAATTTTGCCGAATGCCTTTTCTACATCTATAGAGATAATTATATGATTTTTGTCCCTTATTCTGTTAATATGCTATATCACATTTATTGATTATTGTACATGGAACCGTCCTTGAATCCCAGGTATAAATCCCACTTGATCATGGTAAACGACCCTTTTGACATGCTGTTGAATTTGGTTTGCTGGTATTTGCTGAGGACTTTTGCGTTTCTGTTTTTCATAGATACTATCTTGCAATTTTCTTGCGCTGGCTTAAGTATCAGGGTAATGCTGGCCTTGAAAATGTGTGTAAAATAATTCTTTTGAATTCTTTTTTTTTTATTGAGTTTATTGGTACATTTAGGGATACAGTACAGTTACATTCATTGTTGGGATCATGTACCTTTACATGGCAAGTCTTGATTCTCATTTTTTCCCCCTTACCTCTGCCCTCCCTTCACCCCCTCCTCCCCTCCCCATCTACAAACACTTTATTTTCATCTTTTCATTCTCTCACATTTTTTTCTTTTCCCTTTTTGTTCTTCCCCTACGTATCACACCTTCCCTACACCTTTAGCTCCTTTCCTCCCATTTCTAAATGTCAGTAATCTTATTAGAATCTTATGCATTGTTGCAGAATATTCACACCAGGGAAACTATTCGGTATTTACACATGTGGGACTTATTTATTTCACTTAGGAGTATATCTTCAATATGTATCCATTTTCCTATGAATGAATCTATTCTCTCGCTCTTTATGGCTGAGTAATATTCCATTTTATAGAAAAACCACAACTTCTTTATCCAGTTTCCAACGGATGGGCAAATAGGTTGTTTCCAAGATTTAGCTATTACAAACTGTGCCGCTATAAACATGGGTGCACATACTTCTCTGTGATATGATTCTTTTAGTTCTCTTGGAAAGATACCCAACAGAGGGATGGCTGGGTCAAATGGAACCTCCAGTCCAAGCTCTTTGAGGTATCTCCATATTGATTTCCATAGTGGTTGCACTAGTCTGCACTCCCACCAACAATGGAGGAGGGTTCCTTTCTCCCCACAACCCCGCCAACATTTGTTATTGTGTGATTTCTTGATAGCAGCCATTCTTTGTGGGGTGAGGTGGAATATTAGTGTTGTTTTCATCTGCATCTCTCAAATGACTCAGTGATGTGGAACATTTTTTCATATATTTTCTTGCTGCTTTCACTTCTTTGTATGAGAAATGTCTGTTCATTTCGGAAGCCCATTTTTGGATCGGGTCTTTATATTTGGGGGGACTGATTGCTTTGAGTTCTTTATATATCCTTGATAATAGTCCTTTGTCTGAGGTACAGCTGGTAAAAATTTTTTCCCACATTGTAGATCGTCTCTTAGTTCTGCTGATGGTTTCTTTTGAAGTACAGAGTAGCACGGGAACTAGCAGAAAGAATCAACAACTGGGATCTCATCTTACTAAAAAGCTTCTGTACTTCAAAACTCTATTTCTTTAGGGTTAGTTACTGGAATATTTTTGTGTTCTTTTGGTAGCATTATGCATCTTTGGTTTTTCGTGTTTTTTGGTTTGTTTGTTTGCTGCCTTGTGTTGATGTCTACGCATTTGATGGAGCGATTATTGAGCTAGTTCTGGATTCAGTGAGAGTAAGTGATGTCATCATTGGTGTAGCTTACAGGGGTCCATGACAGCCAGTGCTCTGAGTATCTACAGCTGCGGTGGGGGGTGAGGTTAAGCGTTTTGGTATTGCAGACTGCTGGGATCCTCCAGATCTCTTATCTTCCTACCAGGAAATTCGTGGCACAGGGCCACAACTTTTGGAGCCAGTTCCAACCTACAGGCATCCTTGCAGTGGCAGTGGCAGGGGGCACCATCATCTTATGTGGATATCTACACTCTCCTGCCTGTATTTAACATAGTTTTGGAAGTAATCAGACCAGGAAAAGAAGATTTTAAAAAAATCCAAATGGGAAAGAACAATTAAATTATCTCTATTTGTAGACAACACGACCTTATTTGACAAAAACACCCTAAGACTCCACCAAAAAAGTATTAGAATTCATAAATGACTTCAGTGAAACTGGAGGACCAAAGAGTCAGCATCTAAAAATCAATTATTGCTCTGAATGGTGGGCTTTTTAAATACGACTCAAGCACAGCTAACAAAAACAAAATAAATAGGATTGCATCAAACTGAAAAGCTCCTGCACAACAAAGGAAATAGTCAACAAAATGAAATGATAATGTACAGAATGGGAAGCAATATTTTCAAACCACATACCTGATAAGAGGTTAAGACCTAAAACACATAAGGCACTCAACTCAATAACAATAACAAAAAACACAACTTTTAAAATGGGAAAAGGTCTTCAATACACATTTCTAAAAAGAACACACACAAGTGGCCAATAAACTATATGCTCAGTATCACTAATGTTCAAGGAAATGCAAATGAAAATAATAACGAACCATTCCACCAGACCTGTTAGAATCATTATTAAAAATGAAAGGTAATGAGGTGATCATGACTGTATGAAGAAAAGGGAATCCTTGCACATGATTAGTGTAAATGTAGATTAGTGCAAGCATTATGGGAAAAAAATCATAGAGGTTCTTTAAAAAATTAAAGTAGAGCTACTATAAATATCAACCCCACCACCGTGTATACACCCAAAGGAAAGGAAATCAGGATTGCAAAGACCTGTTAGCATCCTTGTGTTCACTGTAGCATTGTTTACCATAGCCAAGACCTGGACTCAACCCAAGTGTCTGTCAGGGAGTGAATGGCTAAAGAAAATGTGATGATATGTACACAGTGGAATACTGTTTATCCTTACATTGAAAGAAACTCTTGTCATTTGTGACAACGTGGATGAACTTGAAGGGCCACGTATCAAGTGAAATAAACCAGGAACAGAAAGACAAATGTCATATAATCTTGCTTAGATGTAGTATCTAAAAATCTGAACTCATAGATGGAGAGAGTTACCAAAGGCTGAGGCAGGAATGAGGTTTTGGTCTAGGGATACAAAATTTCACTTATGCAGAAAAATTTCAAGTTAAAGAGATCTATCATATAATACCACCATGTGATCACAGTTGCTAATAATGTATTGTTACTTAAAAGGCCTAAGAAAGTAGATTTTAAGTGTTCTCATGACAAAAATATAAGTATGTGAGGTAGTAAGATGTCAACTAACTTGAGGCAACCATTCCACAATGTGTACATATATTAAGACATCATGTTATATGCCATAAGTATATGCAATTTTAATTTGTAAATTTAAGATGTAGCCCTACATATTGCCACTTTGCGGGAAAATTATTGCCATATCTTGTTCTAAATTTTTTCTCTCCTCAAATACCTTCTTCTGCCAGCTTTTGGGACTAAGAAATGAATTGATAAATTGGCATGTCATTTCTCAAGGAAAGTCAATCTTTGGTCTAGAATCTTTTCTTTCCTTTGATTTCACCAGACTCTACTATAATAGCCTAAATTTGCATCATTAATTGTATTATTTCTGAACCAATAGGTTTCTGTAGTCACTCAATAGCATGCTATTAGGCAGTGACTAATTTGCCTTTTCATAAGGTGTTGGGAAGTCTGAGGATTTGTAAGGGATATGGACGTATTCATACATGTGAAGAACATAGAATCAGACCTGATACTAAAAAAAGGCAAGACAAATATTAGCAGTTACCATCACCACCATGGTCATCATCATCACTGATGCAAAGTTAGGCATCAGCATTTTTCACTTATTGTATTATCTCTTTTAGGTTAGAACGGATATTCCATACTTTCCTGAAAACTATCAGGCCAGCATTGACCATCAAGCAGTGACCTACTCATCACCCAGCGAAAGTTTCCTTTCCCTTGGCTGGACAGGTAGTTACAGGAGTTTGCTTGTGGGGGAACATCTGAGCATAACTGTTACCCCTAAAAGTCCATATATCGACAAAATTACACACTACAATTATTTGGTAAGTTCAATAATATCTTACTTACATCCAGCATCCTGTTGGCAACATTCTCTTTACTTACACAAATAGTCCTTAAAATGACTTATTACCACACACAATTGATATTTAGTGAATAAATTAACGAGTTTCAGTACTTTCCAGTTTATAAAGTACATTCACAACAAAAGCTTCATGACAATTTTTTAGTTGAGCAGACAATGGAGTACACTGGAAAGGCTGAATGACCTTCCATGCTCATAAGTACTGGAAGGTAGGTTCAGGGTTTTGTTGAAGGTCTTCAGACTCCTAAATCAATATTCCTTCCACAACATATTGCCAGGGGTTTGGTCGAAACCTTCATTCAGTTTCCAGACTGGTCAGTGACTGCAGCAATGTTTCATGGCTAATCAAAGTACTATTAAACAGCAGGACACTGGCCTTCCTAATGGTTCTTAAGAATATGCCTTATTTCCAAAGCAGAGAGTCTAATTCTCGAGCTCAGTAACGGATATAGTGATTCCAAACTTTGTTCATTGCTACTTAAAATACACACTATGAAAAATGGCAAAATAATATAATGGAAAAAGCTAGGGCTTTGGGTCAATAAGATCAAGGTTCTCATTCACATTGTATCACTTCCTTGGTCCACATCTATGACCTTCACTTTCTGTAGCTGCAAAATGGAACAAATAAAACCATATCATGAGATTGTGAGGATTGAATATGTTCATGTTCATGTATCTGATGCATAGTAAATGATGAATGGACATTAAATTCTTTTTTATTTTTACTCTAATTCTGAGCCCAGTCTGATGCTTATTTCTTGCTATGTATTTTTAGATTTCATCTAAGGGGAAAATTGTGCACTTTGGCACAGAGAAGAGAATCCCAGCATCATCTTCCCAAATTTTAAACCTTTCTGTGACACAATACATGGTTCCTACAGCATATCTCTTGGTCTATTACATCATCACAGGAGAGTCAACAACAGAGTTAGTGTCTGACTCAGTCTGCCTAAATATTGAAGAAAAGTGTGGGAACCAGCTCCAAGTGAGACCAAAATACTTGTTTCCAGTTGGGTTCCTCCTGAGTGACTATTTAATCTCACACTAAGATGTTCTTTTTTTTTTTTCCACTAATTTTAGATCTATCTGTCTCCAAGTAAAAATGAATATTTTCCAGACGAAGCTATATCACTTATTATGGAAACTCATTCAGAGTTGTGGGTAGCATTAACAGTATCAGAAAATGTTGCATATGGCACCCAAGAAAGAATCAAAAGTCCTATGGAAAGAGTTAAGTAGAGTAAACTTCATGGTTATTGATGTATGGCATGACTTTGGACCAAGTGGCCACCATGGTTCTCTCAGTGTTCTATGGGCTGGTTATAGGAGAATGTAAGAAAACGTGCAACTTACCAATGTCTGTATTCTCAGCTCTATTGGAGGGTAATAATTCCAAGAGCTAACATTTATTGAACACTGACTAAATGCTAAGCTTTACTCTAAGCCCTTACATCTATTGTCTTGTTGGATATTTAAAACAATTCCAAGAGATTGGTGTTAACAATGCACATTATCCATTATTGATAATGAAAGCTAAGATTCAGACTTATGGCCTGAGTGGAACAGCATAATGAATCAATGCATTAACACTTTAAATGATCTCTGTAGATATATAAAAGTCTTTACCCGCTTAATTTACCTCTAACTCATTTTGTTTTATATTAACACATTTTACTTGGAACTATTCTCAATGAAACGCTGAAATTCAAGCTTCTTATAAACAAAAACACCATTAAATCTATGTTTAGAAACAAACCTTCAAAATTACCAATTCCAAACCATCTTCCCTTTAGTGACTGAGATCATCATCTTGCTTACTAAAGTCGCTAGTTGGAATAAACAATAATCTTATTTAATCCGAGAGAGAGAGACAGAGAACACATTTTTAGCAAGTACATAAAATTAAATTATTTTCCCACTCTAGGGAAATGATATGACTTAAAATGCTAGTGTTCTAGTGGGTTGAGTAGGTTGAGTGTGTTGAGTTCACTGGAAAGAGAAGCAGGAAGTGAGGGCCTGGTGCAGGAGAAAATATGGCTGCACATGATAAAGTTATAGCTGCCATGAATAGTTATTTCTCCTGGGCTGGGGATTTAGCTCAGTGGTGCTGCTGCCTGCCTTGCAAGCACAAGGTCCTGAGTTTGATCCCTAGTAACAAAAAAAAAAAAAAAAAAAAAAGGGATATTTTTCTCCTTGCTCTTTTCATGGGCACCCCCCCATCAGTCACCAAGAATCACTTTCATGGGTCATAAGGTCCATGGTTGCAAATTTTATGAGAACTAAACTCTCCTAACCAAGAGAAAATCATTGAGCATTCTTATGCTGTGTTTTGCTCCACCTTTGCTGGTGCAATGAACGAAATATAGGGTCTCATCCTTCTTCTCAGAACTTAGAAAAGAACCACAAGGGGTAGTGAGTATTTCACCTATTTATTCATTCATTCCATCCAAGGACATTTTATTAATTAACTCAGTGTATAAGTTTTAAGAAAGAGGAATGTAAATTATTTTCTAAGAACTTCCAAAGGAGAATTATCCTTCTTCAGGTTAGTTACTGGGTGAGGTTTTAATAGTGAATATTCATAAACCCAAAAATTAAAAGCTAGAGAAGGTAGAAAGTGGTTGGGAAAATTGCAAAATTAGATTTTAATAATTTAGTAAGTGATGGACTTGAAACTTATCATTCTTCACAAGTCAGGCACTGTCGTCCTGTGATGTCCACTGAGTGTTGTGCTTAAGGGAATGATTTCCTTTCTAACAGGTTTTTGGAGATTCAGGGAAAAGTGACCAGGGCTGTGGAGTGAGTGGCGGCAGAGACAATGCCAAGGTGTTCGACGCAGCAGGACTCACTGTCCTCACCAATGCAGCTGCAGCTGACTCCCAACAGAATGGTAATTAATTCTCCTTCCCCACCAAGTAACATAAATGTTCTTGTTGGGAAAATACACTCCTTTTCCTGCCCTGCACCTATTCGTTCTCAAATCCCGCTTCACAACATTTCTTCTTTTTTCTTTCATTATGTTTATTGGTACTTTTTAGGTACACAGCACAGTTACATTCAGCATTGGAAATTGTACCTTTACATGATGTGTCTTGGCTCTTATTTTTTCCCCATTCTTCTCCGCTTCCAAACTTCCCTTTTTATAAAGACTTTGTTCCCATTTTTTCCTTTTCTCATGTTTTTTCTTTTCCCTTCTTTCCTTTCCCCTACCCCTCCCACTTCCCCTACTCCGTTAGCCCTTTTCTTCTTTTCTTCCAATTTCACATTATCAATTATATAGTTTCAACCTTATTTACACTTTATTTTTCACACCAGAGAAACTATTCAGTATTTACACATGTGTGTCCTATTTATTTCACTTGAGTATGGCCTCAGTATGCATCCATTTAGCTATAAATGACTCTAGTTTCTCATTCTTTATGACTGAGTAGTACTCCATTTTATTCCACGATGTTTCTTTCTTTAAAATTAAAATAATTATATTTTGGAGTAAGAACACTTAACATGAAATCTCTCCTCCTGGCAAATTTTTAAGTGTAAAATACATTATTGTTGACTGTAGATACAGTGTTACATGGAGTTGATCTGCAGAGCTTATTTATCCTGCTTCACTGAAAATTATGCCCATTGATTAGTAAGTCCCAAGTTCCTCTCTCCTGCCCTAGCAACTACAATTCAACCTTTACATTCTATGAAGTTGACTATTTTAGATCCCTCATGTAACTTGCATCATGTTCCATTTGTCTTTCTGTGACTGGCTTATTTCACTTAGCATAACATCCTCAAGTTTCAATTATGTTACTGCATATTGTAGAATTCCCCTTTTTTAAAAAAAGTTGTCTGAATAAATCATGTTTTCTTTATCCATTTATGTTAGTGAACATTTAGGTTGTTTTCACATCTTAGCTATTGTCAACAGTTACTGCGATTAATATGGGAATCATAATATTTCCTTAAGATTCTGACTTTAATTCCCTGGATCAATACCAAGAGTGGGATTGCTGCATCATAGAGTATTTCTATTTTTAATTTTTTGAGGAACTGCCATAGCAGCTGCATTAGTTTGCTTTCCCACCAACAGTGTACAAGGGTTTCAATATCCCTGTAGATTCACCAACACATCCTATCTTATTTTTTAAATAATAGCCATCCTAATAGGTATGAAGCAATATCTCATTGTGGTTTCGACTTGCATTTCTCAAATATTTAGTGATGTTGAACACTTATTAATATAACTATTGCTTATTTGTATGCCTTCTTATGATAAATGTCCACTCAAACCCATACCTCATTTAAAAATTAGATCATTAGTTAGCTTTTTTGGCTATTGAGTTATAGGAGGCCTTCATATATCTGGAGATGAATTCCATATCAGACATGCAGCTTGCAAATATTTTTCCCATTCTATATATATTGTCTTTTTACTCTGTAGATTATTTCCTTTGCTGTGCAGAAGTATTTTAGTCTAATGCCATACTACTCATTTACTTTTTTGTTGTTGTTTAGGGCACTGGTGTTATATTTGTGACATCATTTCTAAAACCAATATCAGGAAGTTTTTTCTATGTTTCTTCTAGTAGTTTTACAGTTTGAGGTCTTTTACTTAAGTCTTTATTCCATTTTGAATTGATTTTTATGAAGAAATTAAAGGCCCAGTTTCATTCTTTTTTTTTTCTCATTGAGTTTATTGGTACATTTTAGGTATACAGTACAGTTACATTCATCATTGGGATCTTGTGCCTTTACATGACAGGTCTTGGTTCTCATTTTCCCCCCTTGTCCCTGCCCTCCCTTCACCCCCTCCTCCCTCCCCACTTACAAATATTTTATTTCCATTTTTTCATTTTCTCCTATTTTTTCTTTTCCCTTATTACCTTTCCCTACCCTTCCCACTTTCCCTACACCTTTAGCCCTTTTCTTCCTATTTCACATTGTCAATTATCTCATTAGGATCTTATGTACTATTATAGTTTATTCACACCAGAGAAACTATTTAGTATTTATACATGTGTGACCTATTTATTTCTCTTAGGAGTATATCCTCAATATGTATCCATTTTCCTAGGAGTGAATCTAATTTCTCTTTCTTTATGGTTGAGTAGTATTCCATTTTATAGAAAAAAACCACACTAATTTCATTCTTTTGCATGCAGATATTTTGTTTTCCCAAATCCATTTGCTGAAAAGACTATCTTTTTCCTATTGCATATTCTTGGCACCCTTTTCAAAGATTAGATGACTGTACATTGACCATTTATTTTTGAGCTGTCTGTTCTCTTCCACTAAATATATATTATATATAATTGCTAGTACTGTACTTTTAGATCACTGTATTTTGAAATAAGGTAGTGTAATGGTACAATTCTTCCATCTTTGTTCTATTGATTTGCCTATTTATGTTCATTTGTGGTTCTAAACAAATTTTAGAATTTTTTCTATTTCTGAAAAAAATACAATTGAGATTTTGATAGGGATTTCACTGAATCTGTAGATCATGTTGAGTAGTATGGACATTGTAACAATAGTAAGTCCTCTAATTCTTTCCATTTGTTTGTACCTTCTTTAATTTCTTTCATCAACTTCAACATATAAGTATTTCAGCTCCCTAAGATTATCCTAAGTATTGTATTCTAGTCTTATTTTAAATGGGGTCATTCCTAATTTTCTTTTTAGATGTTCCAGTGTTAGTTTATATAATCCAAGTGATTTTTTTTTTTCAAATACAATTGAACTCATGGCCTTGCACTTGCCAGGAAGGTGTGGCACCACTGAGATACATCTTTATCTAAGCAAGAGATTTTTGTATTTTATTTTGTATTCTGCAACTTTACAGATTCAATTTTTAGTTTCAACAGTTTTCTAATTGGAATTCTTTAAATTTTTCTGTATACAAATATCTTATCAACTCAAAGAGGAGCACTTTTACTTTGCCCTTTCCAATTTTATTTCTTTTTCTTGCCTAGTACTCTGGTAGTAGTTCCCAGACAATGTTAAAAAGAAGCACCAAGAGTGGACACCCTTAACTTGTTTTTGATCTTAGAGGAAAAGCTTTCATTTTTAATACTGAATATAATGTCAACTGCGAAGTTTACATGTATAGTCTTTATTATGCTGAGGTGGTTTTCTTCTAATCTTAGTTAAGAGTTTTTATTATGAAAAGATGTTGAATGTCAGTAAATGCTTTTTTCCTTACATATGATTATGGAATGATGTTGAATTGCATTAACTATTGTTGGGTTAATGTGGTGTCATGTTTATTGATTATTGCACCTTGAACTATCTTGGCATCAAGGGATAAATCTCACTCATTCACAGTGCATGACCTTTTAATATGTTGGATTTGTATTTTGGTAAGTTATTTTTGCATCCATGTCCATCAAAGATATCAGCCTCTTGTTCTCATTGCAGCGTTTAGTATCAGGATAATGTTGTCCTAACAAAATGAATTTGGAATTATCTCTTCAGTTTTTTGGGAAAAGTTTGAGAAGGATTGGTGTTAATTATTCTTTACATATTTGTTAGCATTCACCAGTGGAGCCATCTGATTCTTAGCCTTTTTTCATTGGTAGGGGTTTATTATAATTATCATCGCTGATTCAATTTCCATATTTTTTGCTTAAGTAAGTTATTATATTTAATTTGTCAAAAGTGATGGAGAAATTATGAATTACCCATAACTGGTATGGAACTCATTATAATTTAATGGTAATGGGAGAGAATTCCACCCATAATAATATCCTTGTACTCAGTAAGATGCTATTAATTAACATCAATAGAATGAACTATTATTTTATTATTGAGGATAGGGACAGGATTTAATGAAGATTGTGTTCCTTGCCTGGAAGAAAGGAGTACTCACTAAATAAATTTTAAAGAGATAAAGCACCTTAAAATGTGTGCATTTGGTGATTTTTTAAAAAATCATATTTGAGATTCTTGAGACAATACACTTGCAAAGAGCTCATAACGACATTGCTGCCGTGACACATTCACTCTAGTCACGTATATCTTTTTGGTACTGCGGATTGAACTCGGGATCTTGCACTTGCAAGGTAGGCAGCGAAACCACTGAGCTAAATCCCTGTACGTATATCCTCTTACTAATTGTACAGATCGTGATTGCTGTGGGAAATAGAATAAGACAGCAGATAAAATGGGTTTGTTGTAACTCTGAAACTGTTTTCAATACGTAATTTGATGGAAATGTTCATTCTGAGGAATATTCTCTGTGTTTTTTTAACAGATGGATTATATAAGAATATTCACAGATCCAGAAGATCCATAAAAGAGGAAATAGACCAGCTAGGTGCTCTAAAGTTTCGTGGTTTTTTTTCAGAAGCTATAATGAAACAAATGTGGGATGTGCAATGTTTTTTAATTCTAGCTAATTGCCATAGAAGAGATGAAAAGATATAAAGGCACTTCCAGCTTTTATTTTCCAGAGAGATAAAGCACGCTGAGTAAATTAACCCACAGTGATTCAGTACAGTCTTAACCTAAAGGAAATAAGTATCCTTTATGTCCATTCTCTGTGGTTTCAGAGTCACTGGATATTGCCTGTACATTTTATTTTCTATCAGAGTTGCTAGCACAGCAGTTAAATGTAGGGCTTCCATTAAATTCTCGAAAAAGCTAGGTCTGAGGAACTTTAAGGCTAAAATAGTAGGTAAGATTAATTAAATTCTTATGGTATGCCAGGCACTGTTAATGCTCCATACTCATATTTTCTTGTTAAATACTCACATTTATCACATGACAGAGGTACTCTTATTATTCTCACCTTCCAGATGAAGAGATGGAAACACAGAAAAAAAATTAAATAACACATTCAAAGTCATGTGAAGGTAGTAAATGGCAAAGGCAGAATTCAAATTTGAATAGGACTGGTGTTAAAGCCCGTGCTTTGTTAGGGTAATTTTTCTCTGCCTCACAGAGCTTTGAGAATAAAATGAGATCATGCTGGTAAAACACTTAGCTCAGGAGAACTCAGCAAATGGTAATTTATCATACTCGATTCCTTTTCAAACTCTTTCTTGGCAGTGCCATACTCCAACATAGGCCAGACAGGAACTGTAATCAGTATTTTGTCACTGCAGAGTGAGTTTCTGAAAACTCAACTGTCTTGCCAAGTTTAAAAACTGGGAGAGGATCAGCCCTTTCATACCGTGGTCCAGTCATTTCCCTCATGATGTTGACTCTTGGCTCCAGCCCTGCTCTGGCCCCTAGCAGCTGTGACTACTTCACACCTCTGTTACTACCTCATCTCTAAGTGACAGAAAAGGACATCATCAACTCTAAAGCCCCCCTCCTTTTAATTGCTTTTGTTTTAAAGTAAAAGTTCTTCTAAATGCCCACCCAGACTTGCAGCTTGCCGGCCTCCATCAGAGGAGTCTAACTGTATGAAGGTTTGGAAATCAGTGATGTCGTAGGAATAAGTTTCAATTAAGATACGACAATACCATCAAGTACTCGGTAATTACTAAAAAGAATGAAGCACAAGAGGATTAACCTTGTGGGTACCAATAAGGGTACCAGTGGCAATTTTCAGAGTTTGGTCTAGAAGATGTCAGGAAGAGTTTTTCCTGCAGTGACACTCTGAAACAGAGTAGGCTGCTTCAGGAGGAACAGTTTCCCAGCCTGAGCTATTCCAGCGGGAGGGTTGTTGATCACTGGTACTAGACCCGGTGAGGCAGAGGGCTCCAGGGAGGAAGATGAATCAGAGCCGCTAAGCTCAGACCTGAGACTTTGAATCTGTACTTGGCTAAGAACAGCTGATCTATCACCGCAGCGTCCCAGTTCAGACACCCTGTCGTCCAGAAGTGTTGTTACGATGGAGCCCGCGAAAGCGAGGAGAGCTGTGGGGAGAGAGCAGAGCGGGTTACTGTTGGCCCCAGGTGCCTCACAGCTTTCCTTCAGTGCTGCAGCCGGGCGAGCGAGTTGCGGAACGACTCTACTTACAAGGTACCGATATTGGGAAGAGCACCAGGTATGTGTAAACGCTCCTGCTCCGTGTGCAGTGCCCTGGGAGGGTACCAGCTGGATTTTGTGCTGCCGCCAGAAGAAGTGCTTCCAAATTTGGTTCAATGTACAAAAGACTACTACTGCACAACAGTAAAGTAAACTACTGCACAACAAATCAAAAAAGCAAAGCAGGCCACTAGTAGTACCAATGTGGACCCCCCTAATCCAAACATTACCACTAACCCATTGTGGAGGTTGCAGCAGGTGGAATTTCCTCCACAGTACACCAGATGGTGTCCCATAAGCCGTGCTTAAGCAAATGCAAAAAACCCTCAAAACAAACAAAATCACCCCCTGCATATTATCAAGTCATAGTGCAGTGAAATTAGAAATCAACGACAAAAGAAACCACAGAAATTATGCAAATACAAATAACAGTAGTCTTCTGAATAATCACTGGATCACAGAAGAAATCAAGGGAGAAATTAGACAGTTCCTAGAATCAAACAGCAAAGTACAATATGCCAGAAATTAATGGTACACAATGAAAGCAGTCCTAAGGAGGAAGTTTATTGGTGTAAATATTCAGAACAGAAAAACAGAATAAATCCAAATAAACAACTCAGTGATACACCTCAAGGTCCTAGGGGGAAAAAATCCAAAGCCAGTACAAGAAAGAAAATTATAAAGCTCAGAATAGAAATTAATGAAACTGAGATTTAAAAATTAAAATGATCAATGAATCAGAGAGCTGGCCTTTCAGAAAATTAACAAAATAGACAAACTCTTAGCCAATCTTACCAAAAAAGGAAAGAAAACACCCAAACAAATGCAACTAGAAGTGAAAGAGGTGAAGTCAAATGTACACTGCCCTAACTCAGAAAATTATTAGTAACTACTTTGAGAAACTTTACTCCAATAAATCAAAGAACTCAGAAGTGGATGAACTTCTAGACTCTTATAAATTACCGTAATTGAACCAAGAAGATATTAAAAACCCCAAATAATCCAATAACACTTTTATAGATTCATGGAAAGACATAAAAGAGTCATTAGATCTTTTTAATAAGCAATTTACTTTTTTAGTATAATTTTCAGCTAAAACTGCAATATTTTGCATAATTATCTTCTTAATTTCTATACTCTGTCAAATAGTATACTTAAATAATATAAATAAAACCAAAGAGGATAGACTTAAAAGTAGGTCAGTAAAATTAAACACATTTTAATAAGTTTTATTCATCTTTCTTTTGCACACAAACTATGTGAAAATGAACTATGGGAAATCCCTTTCATGTATGCTTATTGGAATTTCTTTTACTTCTAATACCTCTTGTTGGATATGGTTCATGATGAAATTAAGAATAATATTTTGATCCTTAAAAGTATCCTGTTGTTTCTACACAAGGTTTTAAGCATCCCACTATATGTGACCAGTGAAGTCTGCACAGATGAATACCAAAGAATCATGTTGTCAAATATTTTCATTTTACAAATTAGCTCTTAAGAGGCTAGATGTGTTGATGTTTATCTGATCTTTTATATCCATTAGTGTTTGCTTTATTAGTTAGTTATTGATTAGTTTATTATTTATTAGTCCCTACTTTATTATCTATTTATTATTTATTTTTATTAGTTTTACTTTATTAGTGTTAGTTGTTTTATGAAGTTGGGCATGCTGGCATTTGGTGAGTATATGTTTATAATTATTATGTCTTCCAGTTGAATTGTTCCCTTAATAAATATGCGGTGACCTTCTTTACCTCTTCTGATCACAGTTTTGGCTTGAAATCCCTTTGTGTAAAACTAGGATAGCTTCTGCTTGTTTTCAGGTTTCCATTGTGTGAAATATTGTTTTTCATTATTTTCTTTTTAGTCTTTGCATTCCTTTTAGGATTGAACACATTTCTTGTATACAGCATATTGTTGAGTTTTGTTTTTGATTGGCATTCAGCCAATCTGTGTCTTTTGATTGGGGGAATTCAGACAATTCACGTAAGAGCTATTACTGAGAGCTATTGACCTATTCCTTTCATTGATTTTCTTGTTGCTTTTTCCTTTCTTTTTTTTAAATTTTTTCTTTCTTTCTGGTTAACTGCTGATTCTGCCTTTATTGGACTTTTTGTGTTGTTGGTTTCATTGTCTCTTTTTGGGATTTCCTTTCTTTTTCACACCAGGGATCAAATTTAGGAATACTGGTTTGATGGTCATGACTTTTTTAGATTCCCTTTATCATGGAAATATCTTATTTTTTCATCAATTTGAAAGAAAATCTTGCAGGATATATAAGTCTGGGTTGGACGTTGTCATTTTTCAAGGCTTGAAATGCTTCAAGTTCTCTTGGCCCTCAAGGTTTGTGTTGAGAAGTCTGCTATAATTCTAATGGATTTTCCTTTATAAATGACTTGTCACTTTGCTCTGATTCCTTTTCTTTTCTTTTTATTTATTTTATTATTTTATTGTTTTTTTAAGACAGGGTCTCACTATGTAGTTGAGACTGACCTGGAACTCACTATGTAGCCCAGGCTGGTCTTGAACTCACAGCCATCTCCTGCCTCAGCCTCCTGAGTGCTGGGATTATAGGCGTTCGCCACCACACCTGGCTTCTGATTCCTTTTTATAACAGCTTTTAAGATTCCCTCTCTGTGTTGGACTGTTGGGATTTTTGACTACTGGTGTATAACAGAGAAGTTCTTTTTCGATCATGGTTATTTGGGCTTTTCTATGCCTCACTTATTTGCATGTTAATTCTTTATATTTGGAAAGTTTTCTGCTATAATTTCTGTAAATGGATCTTTTATGACATTTGTGCTATTTTTCAGATTTTTAGATAATTTCAATGAATCTTAAATTAATTTTCTTTAGGTCATCTTTCATTGAACTTATTTTTTTCTGTTTGGCATTTTTGTGGACTATAATTCTTTGCTAGTCATTTATGTTTTATCATTTTGTTTAGCTCACTTAGATTTTTATTACTGTCTTCTGTAACTTTGGATCATTTCATTAATACATTATCTGTTCAGTTAAATCTTCTTGAACTCGCTGAGCATCTTTCTGAGTTGTTTCTTTGTCTCCTTTGTTATCATTTTGAATATTTCAACTATGTGGCTTTTGATTTCTTTTCCCTTGATGCTCCATGGATCAGCCTTGGAAGAGTTGGGAGTTTGGGGAGGCATTTTGTTGCCTTGTTTCTAGTTTTCTTTTGGTGTGTGTGTGTGTGTGTGTGTGTGTGTGTGTGTGTATGAGTGCACCAGCACACGTACTCACTAAGGTTTTTGAGAGCTTATAGTGAAACAACATTGTTGCTTGTGTGAAGATCTTTTTAGTTAGTGTCTGCTTTTCAGTGATGTATTCTTGGTGTGGCTAACTGTAGGCCTTTGCCTCTGTACCAAGATCTGGTCACTTCTGTTAACTTAGGAGAAGAGGATGTAGTGTAATTAGCACCTTGTTCTCTGGAAATGGACTGCAGTATGGTTAATGACACAGAGGTGATCCAGATATTGGCATACAGAGAAAACCTATTCATAGCAACAACTATGCTGTCTGGTAATAGCAACTAACTCAGCAACAATAAAAGCTTCAAACACAAACTGAATATTGATATACTGTAAGAACCAACAATGTACTACTCTTAGCTATAAAAGAGATCTATAATTATAGTATAAATAACAAGATGAACCAAATATCAACCTATAGTAAATATCCACTAAATGTGACAACTAACCCTCCACTACCAGTGGAAAATAATTCAACAGTGATAGCATGCAGTTATCTAAGATTAATTCAGCTTAGTTGTGATACTAGTAAAGATAGAGTGGGTGAAGAATGGAAGAATGAAATAATAAAATTTTTTTAATTAACAGTGGAAGATGAAGAGGAATGAAAGTTGAGATAAAGGATCCTATTAGGGAGTAAAAGGAAATTAATAGAACTGGATAAAAGTAACAGAAAAGAACAAGTAATAAAAAATGGAAAAAAACAAAAAACTAAGGAAAAAAGAAAGATAAAAGAAAAAATATTTAAAACAAAGGAAAAAGGACAATCTTCTAAACGCCAAGAAAACCAGTGAGAAAGAAAGAAAAAAATGAATCCAAGAAAACATTTTTCTGTATATTTTTGACTGAATGGTTTCTTCCCAGGATCCACAGTTTTAGAATCCAGAAGCCATGGTTTTCTCTGCTTAGCTTTGCAGCCTATGGGTTTGTGAGGTGCCCCTGTTCTAGAGACCCCTCTGTCCACGGATCCCACCCTCTGGCATCTGTCCAAGCTAAGGCTTGTCCTTGCTCACATTGGTAGATGGGAGAGTAATGAGCTCTCCAATCTGTGCTGGATATAGGAAGCAGGACAAGGCCTTGGCTGAGCAGACTGCTGTATTTAATACCAGCACACAGGCCCAGCCACTTTTGAAAGCCACACACTCCAGGCCCGATTTCTAACCACAGACAGTGGGCTCCCATGCCCTTCCCCACCTCCATTAAAATTTCTCAGTGGGTCTATGGCCTAGCTGATACCCTCTCTACAACTGACTCCCATGGCTGTCTCCCACCAGTCCCTGTGGGAGAGTGGGAATCTTGAAATCTATTGGTTTTTAGCTGTTCTGAGGCTGAGTCTTAAATAATCAACCCCTTCCTGAAATGACTTCTCATTGAACACTGTCTGGCAATATGATGGGTGCTGCACTGGATTCCTTCTCTAACTATTGCCTGTCAATAGAAAGAGTCATTTTTGGAGCAAACCCCCATGCTATTATTGCAGTTTACAGTGGCCCTGGGCTTTTCTTGGATTTAATGCTACTGGCCCAGTCCACTGTTTCTCCCTGGAGCTCTCAACCATGAGCGCTTTCTTTGTGTTTGTGGAGACAGGTTCCCCAGATGAGAAGCTACGGTAGCTTCCAGAGTGTTTCCTGTTTTTTTCTTTGTGTTGTGGTCTATTTCTCCAACTTTTGTAGCTTCTAATTTTCCTTTCAGTTCCCTCCTGATTCCCAGAGATCTACTTATTTCACCAAGTTGTTAATTTCCAGGTGTATAGAATCTGGGTCCCATAGAGGCTGGGGTTTTTTGTTTGTCTGTTTTGTTTTGTTTTTTGTTTTTTATATTTGTTTTTTGGTTTTTTGGGTTTGTTTTTTTTTTTTTGTACTGGGGTTTGAACTCCGGACCTTGTGCTTGCAAGGCAAGAGGCAGCACAAACTGAGCTAACCGCGGCCCCTCAAAGAGGCTGCATTTTTGCTGTTAAGTTCTACTCTGCCATTTTGGTTCTCCTCTATTTTTCCATTTTGATATCACAAAAATATATGTTTGACTAAAGTCCTTGGTGTTTAATTCAAAGTTAAAACATCTTTCTTGAACATATAACTCTATTGTATGTTATGCTTAGTCTGTGATTTTATTCTTCTAATAATTTAGCTCCTGGAGAAATCCCCATATTTGCAGCCCGAGATCGAACTGCAATTGATTTAGAAAACTGGTTGTGGGAAGTACACCATGTTCCTAAAAGGTATTTCAAGGCTTTCATCTTTATTTTCTTCAAGAAAATTTTTAAAAATATTTAGACATGATGAGCATGCAGTCAGGTGGTCTTCAAAGAACTTCTTTGATAAATAAGGGTAGAATTAACATTTGATCAAAGTTAATTTGAGTTAGCTTTGCCCTCCTACATGGATTAACTACAAATAAAGGTTCTTTCCAAAAGAATGTTATTTAACTTACCTTTAATTTCAGCTAAGCATGCAGTATGGTGTGAGATCTGGGTTTTGCATTTTTTCAAACAACTTCTTTGTACCAAACTCCTTAACAATGCGTGTTGCCCATGTAGGCATGCATTTTCAGTGATATTCCTCCATATAACAAGTGAAAAGAGGTGCTATTTCCCTCCTGCAACAAACATACACTGTAAAACAACCCACGAGGCTTGGGAGGCAATTGGTTTTGTTCAGTTACCACACTTTGCTTTATGCTCCATGACTCTAGTTTTACCCACTTTTCTTTTCCAGTTCACTCTCCAAACACAGCGACATAAGTGATTATCTTGCAATCCAAATCTGATCATCTCATTTCCCCACCTAAACTACTCCATGTCCTGTGTGTGTGTGTGTGTGTGTGTGTGTGTGTGTACTAGGGATCAAACTCATGTCCTTGCGCTTGTGAGGCAGGCAGCAGAACCACTGAGCTAAATCCCTGGCAAACTACTCGGTGTCCTACCCAGTGAAGCCTATGTAGATTAAGAGGCCTACCCCAACAGCTTCAGCTTTGTCTCGCAGCAACCATTTCCTTTACCCCCCACTGTACACTTTCTCTTCCAGCACATACACTCCTGAAAGTCTTAGTACTTTTTCTTGGAAATACTTTCCTAGCCCCACACTCCTCGCAAACTGTACTTCACACTTTGCAATCCAGTTCAGAGAGTAGGTTTACAAAAAAGTGGCCTCCAAAGAATTACATCCGTAACTTTTCTTTCATACTATAGTTTCTACAAACTTCTGTTGAAGCACATATGAAGCTCTATGATAATTTATTTATTTACATGTTTCCCTCTTCTAGAGTAACATCATGGAAGAGACACCTTTCTATCCTATTTGGTACTAAGAATTTGTCTAGTACATGTTAGTTAGGAAATGTCCATGGGACACATAATTAGCTAATGGATTTCTGATTTCTGAAAATTATTTTTATTTCATCTATTTTTGCACACCATATTTTTCTTAGTAGAGTTCCCTGAATGTAATTAATTTTTTTTTTTTTTGCTACTGGGGATTGAACTCGGGTCCTTGTGCTTGTCAGTCAGGCTCCGGAACCACTGAGCTAAATCCCCAGCCCAGTAATTAAATATTTAGTTCATAACTTATAATATAGCCTTTTGAAATCCTGATTATGGAGTAGATCAATGAACGTGAAGTATAAAACCTGGCAGTATGAATTAGGTTTGACCATATGTATCTATTGGTATTTAAATATTTTTATCTATATAAATAGCAGTTTCACATATTTAACTTAATACAAATGCATGGGAAATTGTTCTGAATGTGTAAAATTCTCTCATTCTCTGTCCTTCTAAAATTTTCTTTGCCTCTTCCCCACTCAGAGTCCCTGATTTAAGTTAGTTTCCTTGTAATTTGCCTCAAGAGCCCATATCTGACATGCACAAATATTCTGACTAACAGAGTATTTGGTTTCAAATTACTCAAAGCTTGCCTGTGTTAGATGACTATGAAATGTTTTATCTTCAGGAATCAGCTGGAGTTGGTGCTACCTGATCTCACAACCACCTGGGAAATTCAAGGGGTTGGTATTTCAGATAAAGGTAAGAAGCTGGTCTGATACACTATTTTGATTCTGGGAATAGATAGTAATGTATCCATCATTTTATTGACAGTTTCCCCTGGACTTTAGGGGGTGAATGTTTGATGCTCTTATAATCTAGACTTAAAATGAAATATTTGTGTCTTTGGACATATTTTTTTTCATTCAATGTTTTTACAAGCCAGCCCTTGTGAGCAACAATTATGGGTCATAATACCATTTTTTAAAGACCATATATTTGATTTTTACAATTCAATATCTCTACCTATTTAAGTGAGTTCTATAGTAATTAAATAACTTTTTGATATGTTGTAAAACAGTATTAGGTCAGACTACTTAAAATCCATGCTTTGTAACCACAGAACTAACAACAACAGAGTCACAATCCTGACAAAGTTAAAAAAAAATCATAAAACTGGGTCAGGAGTACATAGGTTTTTGTTTTGTTTTGTTTTGTTTTGTTTTATACCATCCTATTTGTAGAGACCTGAAACTTTTTGTAATAAAAAGTTTTTAAAATTCACAAATAATAACTTTCAAAACTCTTTACTAAAGACCATTATTTGAATGTTTGAGTCAAAGTTTTGTCTCTCAGATGTTCCCCCAACCTACTCTCACATGAATCAGACTTTGGACGAGCTTACCTAAAAGATCGTCTTTCCCTTGTGTAATCTCTCTCCTATTACCTTCTTCAATGCCTCATACTATGTATCACTTTTCTGACAGTTTTTCACATCTTTGTTTATGCCTACCTGACTGAAATATAAGCTCCAAGCAATTAGCTATTTTATCTGTCCCTTTTACTGTGGCATTTCATTGGCTAAAAAAATGGCTGGGCCCTAGTAGAGTCTCCAATATCAATTCATTGAAAAAATAATGGTCATAAAATAGGAGTTTCAGGAGCAATGAGCAATATAGGCAGGAAAAAAAAAGGAAACTCAATGTGTGATATTTTTCTATCCATAAAGTAAGAAAAACACAAGAATTTTAATACGTCAGTGTATACTCATAGTGTCATGTCTCTAGGTCTATGTGTAGCTGATGTGCTGAATGTGGAGGTTTATCAAGAGCACTTCTCAGTCATAAGCAACGATAGTACAAGACGATTAAAAGGAGCATTTTCTAACATCAAAACCCTAGGAATCTAAAAGTAAGTGAGTACATGATACTATATTCAATGACTGAGAAATCTGAGGGTAAAATCACTTCACTTTAATGCACAAAGTATCTAAGCACATGTGCAGCGTGTGAGGGTCAGGGAAGTGATGGAGACCTTTCAAATTATAATGTATCAGGAGGAGCTGAATGAAAATGTAGTGGGAATAACATCACATTTTGTTGGGAATGATGGGAGATCAGACAAAGTTTCCTCAGGTAATCTGTAGAAAGAGAAAGCAGGTCAGTGGTTGCTAGGTGTTGGGGAAGGGGAGGATAGAGAGTAACTGCTTAGTGGAACAGGAAGTGATCCACTTTGCTAAAGCTCAAAGAGCTACATAGTAATTGCCAAACACAAACACAGCCCTCAAACATTGTTACCAATTTATAAATATTTCCTTCTTGCCCCTACTGAGTATCTTTTTGTACTATCAGAGTGTGCTGGATCAAACTCGGAAAGACATCCTGCCCTCTGTTGGCTAGCTTCTGATAACCACATTTTCATTGACTATCTGCCCAAGGCCTGTGCATGCATGCCGCCAACGGCCAAAAGTATGTTTTGGTTGAATACGTGTTAGCAAAAACAAATCGACTTTTATTTCTCAGTACTGGGGATTGAATCCAGGGCCTTCGCATTGAGCTCCATCCCCAAACCTTTTTATTTTGAAATAGACTCTAAGTTGCCCAGATAGGACTCAAACTTGAAGTTCTCCTACCTCAGCCTCCCAAGTGCTAGTATTACAAGCGTGTACCAACATGCCATCTCAAATTTTAAAGTATGATTAAGGTCTTCAAATGAAATTTCAATATATTTTTAAATAAATTCTGCCATCTAATAAAAGAGAATACTCTATATTTCTCCCCCATGAAAAAAATCTTTAATAATTCCTCCAAAGTTGAATATCATGTTTCAAAGCAGCTGATAAGCAATATTTGTGAATATCAAATGCAAAAGGAGAAAAAAGGAGAAACTGATAACAAATACAGCATTCATTCTTTGTATTTCCCTTTTATTATCAAAATCACATGTTGCCCAGCTTACTTGAATTTAGGTGTAGCTAAGGCTAAACACACAAGGAAATCTGAATTGCGTGAGTCTTCCAGGAATGCTACCCAATGAGAGTTGATTCAACAGATAGGTGTCTCTTTTCTGCCTTTTTTTTTTCAGCCCTTAACTCAGAAACGCTGGTAGGTGTTTCAGCAACCTTGTGGAACCATGACCTTCTAGGAACGCAACCTTCTAGGCACCAGGATAGTGGAAAAAAAAAAATTAGTCCCTGCCCAATGACATGTTGAAGCTCCGTTCCAGTTCTTGACTGCTCACTACTGGATTTCTTTTATGTGAGAGGGAAATAAATGCTTGTTTCATTTAAGTAACACTTATTTTGTCTGTTAAATCTAATTGAATTAAGATAGTCATGTTTAATAGTGTTTTTATTGCCTCTAGCAAGTAAAATATGTGAGCAGGAGTTTATCAGATGTATTTGGTTTGCTACTTTTAGACCCCAGGTTTATTTCATCTTGCCAGCTCTTACCTCTGGTCCATTTTCTTTACACACTTGTCTCAAACATCTTGTTTTGTACTATTTTTAATTGCACAAATAATATATCAACCTATACTTCTAAACAATTTAGACAGCATATCTGTATAGAAGCTGTACATATTTTCTTTCCTATCAGTAAGCTTTCCCCCATCCAGGCAAGCAGGCCAGTCTGCAGAATGCTAACCGTAGAAAGCCATGCCACTAAAGTGCCAGTTTATCCAATAATCAACTGCTGAATGTTCACCTTGCTAACTCTACCAAAAGATGAACTGGAATGGCAGACTAGTTTATCAAGAATCTTTTTTTTTTATATCTTTGATGGGAATATTCCTATGGGAATTTTTTTATTTATACTGGTTTATATATTGGAATTTTTTTTTTTGCTAAATTCTGATGTCTTCTGAATGCTTTCAAATTTGAAAAAACCATTTGATGAATTGATGAGAGAATACAGTTATTCAAAAAGAGCTAACATTTGAAACATGAATGCCATTTAAAATGTCAGATCCCATCCCATATGATAAACTGCAACAATAATTCCATTGCACACGAAATGTTGAAACTATGGTTACTAGTAGGAAACAATCAGGATACATTTTATTAGCAATCTCAATATGAAAGGAAAAAACTCAAAACTCCAAGAAATGAAATTACAGGGGTTGGGGTGTAATTCAGCGGGCACAGGGCCTGCCTGGCAAGCTTGAGGTCCCAAGTTTGATCCCTGGCACACACACAAGAAAAGTAGGAGGCAGCAGAACCAGTTTGTCTGGACATCTAATAAATATTTGAAACTTGCAATAACTTTTCTTGTTTTTGTTTTTTTTTGGGGGGGGGCATTGAGACAGGGTCTCACTATGTAGTTGAGACTGACCTGGAACTCACTATGTATCCTAGGCTGGTCTTGAACTCACAGCAATCCTCCTGCCTCAGCCTCCCGAGTGCTGGGATTACAGGCATGCAATAACTTTTCTAAGTGGATTAAGTAGACAATTACCTGTTATTTTATAAATGAAAAAAATGAAGCATAGTTAAGACTTGAAAACATAAGCCATCTCCCAAAATATAATCTATATTTAATTATATATTGTAGAGAAAATAAATGGAAATAAGAGATGGGCCAGAAAAGGAAGAAACAAGTAGCCAGATGTCTATGTTGACAAGATTTGTGAGAAGCAGCAATGCAATTCTTACAAGGAAATCAGCCAGAGATATACTAACTAGATTATATTTCCCAGAACAAAAACTAATTTTACAAGTTAACTAAAATTTGGAAGGTATCCTTGCATACTTGCCTTCTCATGTTTTCCAATGGAATAAGTCACTAATTTTATTCTACTAAATGATGACAATTACATCTTATTTCAGAGTCTAAAAGAGAAAATTTTATGGAAAAGCATTCAAGCCATTTAGGATGTTGCTGCTAAAGAATTTTTTTTTTAATCCTCGCTACTTAGGAGACAGAGGTAAGAAGATCACAAGTTTGAGATCAACCTGGGAACTGAGTGTGATCACAACTCAAAAATAAATAAAAAGGCTTGGGAGTGTAGCTCAGTAGTGGAGTGCTTTCCAGGTATGTGTGAGGACCTCAGTTTGATACCTTGGGCTGCAGAGTATACAGTTAAATTTTAAAAGTTATGAATTGTCATCAACATATAAAAATAGAAGGACTTAAAACTAAACTTCAGACCTAACCTACTAAGCAAATTTTTCAGAGTGGCTCTATGTATTATTAATGTCCAGTTTATAACAAAAATTATTATAAGACATGCAACAGAGCAGAAAAGTGTAGCCGGTATAATAGGAAAAAAAGCCACAAAAAACTGCCTGAGGAGTCCTAGGCACTGGACTCTAGAAACAGACTATATTAGGTATTGCAAATATGATTAGAGAACTAAAGAAAACGATGCTAAAGAACTGAAAGAAAATAAAAGAATGACGTCTATAATCCCAGCATCCTGGGAATCTGAGGAAGGAGGATCACAGGTTCTAGCCTAGCCTGATCAACTTACCAACTCTGTCTCAAAATAAAATGTTAAAAAAAAAAAAGACTAAGAATGTAGCTTACTGTGCAGGGTCTTTGGTTCAATCATCAGTACCAAATAAAAAGAATAAAAAAAATACTATCTCACCAGATAAACAATATTAACCAAGATGAAGATTATGAATGAGAACCAAATAGAAATTCTGGAGTTGAAAACTAGGATAACTGAAATGAAAAACTCATCGGAGGCATTCAACAGTAGGTTTGACAATGCAGAAGAATGAGCAAATTTAAAGACAGATTGATTGACATAATCTGAGAAGCAAAAAGAAGAAAAATAAATTTTCTGCATGCCGTTTTGAGCACCACCAAATGCACCAGCATCTGTAGAAAGGGAGACCTCTGGTACATCATCAAATATACCCATGTGTGCATGAAGGGAGTTCCAGGAGGAAAGGAAAAGCGGAAAAGGGCAGGACATTTTTGAAGAAATATTGGCCAAAAGTTTGCAAATGTGATGAAATTCTTCATCTATACATCCAAAGAAATCAATGAACTTGAAGTCAGTGTGTGTGTAGGGGGACAGACCACGGGAGGGAGGGCTGCCCTGGGAAGCACATTATTAGCCAAAAGAAATTTAGGTGATAGTAATGTGTGGCTCTTTTACATTAAGCTATGGTTTCCTACAAGCATCTGAACACAGCAGCGTCTCTACGTGCATGACTGCTTACCCACAAAGTGTATTGAGTGCTTTCCACAATCGCCTTGACCATTGCCTTGAAGCACTGCCCCAAGCTGCATGAACTCTAGCTATGCCACTGCTCTGAGTATGGTAAACTCAGGGGATTACATGGATATGTCATGATGACATCGCCAAGTGCCGATGACAAAGAGAAAAATCTTGAAAATAGCAACGGAAAGGTAGCACACCATGATATAAAGGATTTGAAAAAAAAAAAAAAAGAAAGAAAGAAAACAGCTGACTTCTTGTCAGAAAACAGAAGGCCCCAAGGTAGTCATATGATGTTTTCAAAAAAGATTGAAAGGAAAAGACTATGCATCAAAAATTCTACGTATGCCAGGACTTTGGTGATTAGGATTCAACATAAGAATTTTAGGGGTCACACACACTCAGACCTTAGTACTATCACAGAACCCAAGTGTACCTGTTCAACGTTACTTAATTTATATTCTTGAAAATTTCTGATCTTCTTGACATTCCTTGCTCACTCTGCCAACACATTCCCTTGCATTATTAGAGAAAGTGTTTTGAGAGATTTGTCCTGGGCATCAGATATGAATTCACTCCCGGCTCAGCTCTTCCAGGGCTGGCTGGCTCCTTGGGCATCCAGCTGTGCAGTTGCCAGGGCCCTGCACTCAGAAAGGCTCCATACTTGCGCTATATCTCTGTCTTAAAGTTTCTCTCTCCCCGCCGCCTCTTTTCTGGTACTGGGGATTGAACTTGGGTCCTTGCACTTGCGAGGCAGGCAGTGGAACCACTGGGCTAACTCCCCAGCCCAATCATTTTATTTCTGCGCCTGCATTTTACAAGTGAAGTCATCATTCCTTGCCAGCTCTTTCACGTAGAGCATTCACAATGCTCTCTGACAGAATTCCAGGTGTACATGGTGTATGAAGCCTCAAGGTGAAAGCAAGGAAAGTGTGTTAGGTCTGTGGCTGAGCAAGTGGGGCACTGACAACCCCTAGAAGCCACATTCCCAATGGGAACCAGGATCTGTTCTAGGCAGAAAAGGAGGCAATAACATGCTGGAAAATGACACGACATCGCATCCATTCTTACTTGTTCTCCTATGTCAGGCAACTACTTACACAGAATATGATAGCATCAAAGGAAGAGGAAAGATGGGGCAACCTATAGCTCTGTTTCCTTCCAGGCTTTCCTTATTTATCAATTACCAAAGATAGAGAGTGTTGTTAGAACAAACACATCAAAAATAAAACAAAACAGCTGAGTTATTTGTGTGCAGTGTTTCTACTGTTCTGGGATGAATGACATACAGATGTACGTAGGAACAACCGCAGACTAAGTGTACTCTTGGTAACTGCACATATGAGCCGAATGCTGTTATGTTTGTATTTGAAGCTGGCTTTGCACAAAATATTAAGATGAACGGTAAAATTCATACCAATAATGCAAAATTTTAATTTTACTTTCATTGACATTAAAAATAAAATTTAAAAAACAGCATAAGTTGAGGGAGATGTTACAGAAGGAACAGACCTTATATTTTAATACCTTAACAGCATTTTTTCCTGCTTTTTTTTTTTTAACAAGGAACTCCATATTTTCATCTTGCTCTGTGCCCCTCAAATTACATAGGCAATCATGTCTACTTCTTCGTATGTCACTCCGGGCTGTATTGTTTTTAACTCTGATTATCAGATGATTTATCTGTGAAGTGTATAATGTTAATGTTACAGAAGGAACAGACCTTATATTTTAATACCTTAACAGCATTTTTTCCTGCTTTTTTTTTTTTTAACAAGGAACTCCATATTTTCACCTTGCTCTGTGCCCCTCAAATTACATAGGCAATCATGTCTACTTCTTCCTATGTCACTCCGGGCTGTATTGTTTTTAACTCTGATTATCAGATGATTTATCTGTGAAGTGTGGATAATGTTAAATCATGCCAGTAACTCTCAAGTGGCTTCTGCCAATGGGCAATCATCAGGGTCAATGTTGGAGGCCAACTGCCTTACCGAGCCACTGGATGGGTGACAGCTGCTAGAGTTAGATGAAGGAGCTTATGTTGAGAGAAGTAAGACTAAATGAATAAGTAAATAAATAAATGTGCCACTGAAGCCAAAGAGGGTTAATAGTCTGAGCTTGCTTCAATAGATTATTGAGGGTACAGAGAGAACAGCTCAGTAAGGCTATACAACCATGAGTGACAAAGGGAGAGCGGGCAACTTGTTTTTATATTATTGTCTCTGTTTCCTCTGAAGCAAATGTGCTTAACTGCATTCCACCAACACTTGAGTTTCTCTTTTAACTTCTTATTTTCCACCCACCTCCTACCCCTTACCCTGAAATCCTCTCCTAGCATGGATTAGGATCTAAAGCAGCCTTTTGGGTTATACTATTCCAACCCACTACTCTGATGATTACAAGAATAGTGTAAGCAATGGCTTTCTTCTCTATGTTTCCCCAGACACACTTTGGGATTTAAATATAACTTCGTTCACAGTGGATTGGGAACCATATATTTATACAATGACTACTCATGTAAATATTGCTAGATAATGGCATGCTATTTATATATTAAAACTTAAGTAACAGCTGTTCCTGTGTCATTTGTGGCTTGGCTTTTTTAGGCAACCTTGCATTCCATTGTGTGCATATACAGAATTAATTTGTCATTCTATTGTTTTAAGTTGCATCTCAGTTATTGATATTACAAATAATGCCACGAAGAGCATTCCTAGAGTAGCGGCTTTAAGGTAATGCATGAAAACCCTTTCTGTGGTGTTGGTGTTGGGAAACCTTTTAGAGCTTTCAATGATACAAACAGTCTGCTCTGCACAGGTGCTGTAGGTTTGCCATCCCTGAAGTGTTTACTTTTCATTATTCCTCCTAAGTTGTTTGCAGTGTGTAGTGAAGTCTGATGAGATGTTGATATGCTAAAAAGTTGGGTGTAGATACTAGAGCAGAATTAAGAGGAAATAAGGGCTGCTTCCAGGGTCTGATGTTGATAGAACAAACTACTTGGGAGAAGACTTTTAACTGAGCTAAAGAAGTGGAACCTGGGGCTGGGGATTTAGCTCAGTGGTGCCACTGCCTACCTCGTAAGCGCAGGGACCCAAGTTCAATTCCCGGTACCAAAAAAAAAAAAATTAGAGCCTGAACACTCGAGAAAAGACATTGGTGTGTTGATCAGTATAACAAATACCTGAAATGATCAATTTATAAACAGAAAAGGTTTATTTTGGCTTACAGATTTAGAAGATCTATACACGATGCTTTTAGGCCTCTGGTCAGGGTACAGCATATCGCAACAAGAGTGAGTAGTAGAGCAAAACCTTTCTTGGAAGTGAAAGATGGGCTAGGATCCCCTTCAAGGGTCGAAGGGCAGCCCCAGTGACCTTAAGACCTCCCACTACACCCCATATCTTAAGGGTTCTACTATGGTGAGCCATTATGGTGAGCCTTGACACAGGCCTAGCCATGATTGAACTTTTGAGTCACCTCGCTGGCACGGACGTGCTCTCGCCCATAGCCACGGGTGAGTTCAGCTGGTAGCAGATGTAACCCATAATGGTTATTGTTTCCCTCTGGAATGTGTGGGCGGTACCCTCGCTCCCGTGCAGCCCTCGCTCCCATGCAGCTGGAGAGTATAAAAGGAAGAGGTTCTGTAATAAAGCAAGCAAGCAATAAAGTGAGCAACCAAGCAAGGAACATGAGAAGAAAGGTGCCTCCCGTCTCTCTGTCCTCGTCCTTTCAGGTTTAGGACCTGCTGGCAGGATCCTGACGTCGCGGCTCGCGACATTCTACAACCTCCCAGTACCTCTATTCTGGAGAATAAACACATGGGCCTTTAGGGACACACTAGATGCAAACTATAGATGGTTTCTCCTTTGCTCTGATCAACTAAAACAATTATTTCATTCAGATTTGGGTAAGCTCCATAAGCTTCCATAGATGGAAGTCAATGGTTTTAAAACAATGCTTCCAAGGCCCAACTGCCCATCAACAGGAGACTGGTTAAGAACATGTGTGTATGCTTTTAATATAAAATGGGGTACTATTCAGCCATAAAGAATGAGAAATTAGAGACATTTATAACTAAATGGATGCACATTGATGCCGTACTCTTAAGTGAAATAAATAGGAAACACGTGTGTGAATACTGACTAGTTACTCTGATATGAGAAACTGGAAGTATAAATAACAATCAAAATATATAATACATAACGTGAAATAGGAAGAAAAGATCTAAAAGGAAGGAGACGTGGGAAGGGTAGGCGAAAGGAAAGAAGAGAAAGAAAGAAATGTGAGAAAAGGCAAAAATGGAAACAAGATCTTTATAAATAGGGAGGGGCAGAGGGGTAGAAGGGAGAGCAAGGGAATGGGGAAAAAATAAGAACCAAGATGTATCATGTAAAGATACAAACTCCCAATAATGAACGTCAGCATATTATATACCTAAAATGGACGGATAAAGTTAATGAATGAAATAACAAACAGCAGTGTGTCCAAGCACCTCAGCGCTTCCCGTGGAGCCTTCCCAAGGTCCACCTCGGGGTCCACCCGGAGCAGACAGCAGGGTCTTCCCAGTCTTCTTCGCTCCTTCTTCTGTACCTGGAGCATCCCTGTAAAATTTGGTTTCTTTTAATATTTTTGCGGCTAGATGTATTTTGAAATCCACTCAAATACACACGCACCCGTGCACGCAGGCACAGTGCCAAGACAGTGGAATAATGAGAGATATTTACTTGTAAGATTCCCTAAAGGAATGTAGTTTGTACTACAAGATTCCCTTTCATGCTGATGTTAAGGGACAGCATCTACACATGCTGTGTTCTGCGGTGCTGAAGCAGTAACGCATCTACTACTCACCAAGTTGAGAGTGTAAATAAATTGAGTGATACTAAGGCATGAGACAGGCCTTCAGCAAAACAACAGGCTGAGAGACAAACGTCATCTTATGCTAGTACCAGCCTACATTGGGATATAACATGCACGCTTCTCAAGTCTCAATTTAGATTGATTTAATTCTGAGCAGACAGCTCTGTTTCCTGAGTGGCCTCCAGACTCAAAATAGAAACATAAAAATGACCTAAGTAATTATGGGCTATAGAGTCCACCCTACACTAGCTACAGAACAGGAACGGAAGTTAGTGAGCTGGTGGGCTGAATTTCTACAGCTGATAACACAATTTATCTCAGGTCTTGTCATTCTTTATCCATTAATATTGCTGCCCTGCACATTGGTTGATTTTGAAAATCATACACATAAAAGTCATTTGCTGTGCATGATAAAGAGATCTGTAGTTTATATTACTAGAAAATGGGTTTCCAGACATTGTTACTGAGTGTGAAATAACTTTTTCAAGAATGTCCCATTAAAAGATACAGAGTTAGCGCCCTTCCAGGAACAACTTCATGCCAGGACAAAGTCAGGAAACAATCACAAGCAATCCGGTTACTTGGCTGGAGTGAGGAGTGAGAGCAAACAGAACCCAGGCCAGGAGGGTTAGCAACTAGGTTAGGTCATCCGGGCTCCACCGGAGGCCAGACTTGAGGTGCCCTTAACAGGAAGAGCAAGCCAGGGACTGCTGACGTTTCTGCGAGATCTGAGATTTTCTTCTTTTAGAAAAGCAGTATTTATACAAAACAAAATCAAAGACTTGCTCACAGGTCACTTTTTATAGCTGAATGGATGGACCTTGAGACCATAGCCATAAGTGAAATAAATCAGACACAAATGTTTAAATACCACGTTGTTTCTGTGGTGTGGGAAATTAAAAGTGGAAATAAGGACTGACACATATAATAGAGACTGGGAAGTGGGAAGGAATGTTCAAATGAGAAAGGGAACGAGGGAGGGGGATGGAAAGGAGGGACAAGAAAAAAGAAAATTAAAGGAAAAAATGGAAACAAAGCTTTTGTACCTAAGGGAGGGGGGAATGGGGAAAAAAGCAGCAAGATATATCATGTACTAATACAAATTCCCTATGATGAATGTTATTGTGTGTATCTAAAATGCACCAACAAATCTTTTACTAAAAAAAAAAAATTCATGGTTGAGCCATGTTTAGAAGACAGACTCAGAATATTTTAGTTAAACGTAACTGAGGCTCTGTATGCACTGTTGAACTTCCGTTCTATGGAGAACCTGTAAGATCCACCATTCTTTAAACATTTCTGCTAGAGAAACAGGCCAATCATGTGCAAATATCCTTTATTAGCATTTACTCTATAGCACAAGCAAGCAAACTTCTTTCCACCTGAAATACAAATATTACCCATGTTGATTGGAGTGTACTTGCTCTCTCTTAAATTCCTTTTCCCGAAAATGATGGCAAAAGTACTTTGTTTGTTTTAACTTGACCCATCTTTCGTAACCCAGCTTAATTATTTTACAAATTTCCCTTTGAAATAAATGGACCAGACGATCAGACAGTAGTGGCAGATTTGAGCCATTTCTCTGACATATGAAAGAGGCACTCCTAGGGAAATTTTTATCAAGTTTTCCATTGTGCTCCTTTTCTCTCCTAAGAAATTCACTTAGTAAATAGAACCTCATTAACTCAAAGCAAAGAATGCTACCGTGACCATAAAGGTCTGATTTATACAAATCTATTTAGACATATGTTTTACTACTTTAAAGTACAATACAAATTATATACTAAGGTAGAGATTAGTGCTAATAAAAAGGTATAAATAAAAATGTTCTAACGAACATAAAAATCATGAAAATAAATCGTAGTATATATGCTGCCGAAGCGAGCACTATAAAAATAAATTTAGTTAAAATCCTAAAGATAAAATTTTCTTTTATTTCAATGTGTTACTAGACTCAGTTGGAGGAAGCACTGATTTTCTTGAGCTCTTACATGAAAATCCTCCCTGAAAAGTATGATATTTAAAAATACTAAGGAGTGGCGCTGCACCTGCCTGACAAGTGCAAGGTCCTAAGTTTGATCCCTGGTACCAAAAAACAACAACGATAACAACAACAAAAAAACTTTAGGGAATATTATTTGTGTAGAATAGTAGATTTTGCTCTGGATATTAATACATGCATATAATATACTTTAATTCCACACCCCATTACCTGCCTTTCACTTTCCTTTTCGTTTTCTCCCACCTCCTTTCTCTAATGGTTTCTTTTTCTACTTTCCTAGAATTCCTTTCCTCTTTCTCCTCTTATTTTTTTTTCTTTTTAGAGTCCACATGTGAGAAAAAAACATGACATTTGACCTTTTCAGCCTGGCTTATTTCTGTAACATTTTGATGTCCATCTCCTGCAATGACATGACTTTATTCTTCTTTATGGCTGCATAGCATTTCACTGTGAGTGTACACCACATTTCCTTTATGCATTTATTTATTGACTGGCACCTAGGCTGTTTTCATAGCTTAGTTATTGTGAATTATGCAGCAACAAACATGACTATGCATTTATCATTAGAGTGTACAGTTTTTATTTCAGGAATATATTAAGGAGTGGTAGCTTTGGATAAAATGATAGCTCATTTTTTTTTCATTTGTAGCAAGTGCTACACTGATTTCCACATGTTAGGAAATACTATACATATTTCCAGGTGATTTCCACATGCTCTACTAATTTACATTCCTATCCCCACATCCTTTCCAGCATAGTATGATTTTTTTTTGTATAAAAATATTCCACTGATTTAGCTCAGTGGTGCCAAGGCATGCCTTGAAAGCTCAAGGACCAGAGTTCAATCCCTGGTACAAAAAAAAAAAAAATTCCATGTCTGAATGAATACAAATTTTGAATGAGTGGTAGGTGAATTAAGAGAAAGTCCTTATACTTCCTTTCTGCAGATTTTTGCTATCCTTAGACCATTTCCAACACCAAGAATGGTGCCACTCATGATTTCTCTTTAAAATGATTGCATTGTGAGCCTTGTCTAATTAATACCCACTCTAAAGTCATCTCAGTTCGAAAATGAATCCAGGTGGGTCTCTGTCAATATCAGAGACAACTGGAATCTTCTAGAGGCATGTTTAAAGGTAGTACCATGTCACAGCAAATGCCCTGGTCTAGAGAAGAAACACCAAAGGGAATGGGATTCCTAGGTTCTAGCCCCAAATTCCAATTTTAGAGTCCTTTTAGTTGTATTAATAAAAAGAATTCCCCCCAATGGAAATTCCTGTAAAATACCTCCTATCTTTACCCCTGGACACGAAAAGGTGTGCTAATCTGATTTTTAGTTTTCTTACTTAAAGAACCTTCTTTCTAACATTAATAATTAACCAGAGAACTATTTATCAAAATTCTTGAGGCTCAGTTGAAAAGGAAAACAGCTTCCCCAGAGGTTATATCCATGGTACAACACCACCTCTAGCCATGGGCCTGTTGGTAATACTTTGTTTTTTAATCTTCCTGGAGAAAAGTTGGGGACAAGAACAAACGTAAGTAAAATAAGACATACTCATTTTACAATGTGTCTTACTTGTGGTAAATGAAAAAGTAAATTCAATAGACTGTGTTAATATGAAAATAACTCTTGCCTTCTGAGAGCTCCAAATGCATTGTTTCATTTCTGAATGAGAAAGTAATGGGAGCATTTTCATTTGATGAATGGGTAAGAACATGACAGCTTTTGTGTTTTTTTTTTTAATAAAAAATAAGCAATTACTCAAATTCCTCTTGGAAAAAAAATGAAAGGCAAGCTTCACATCTCAATCTGTCTTGGCATTTACTTCCTATTTGTATTGGTTGGTTTTCTTTGTGTTTTTTCTGGGCTATGCACAGTTAAGGAGCTTTATTTGGAGTCAGTTCTAATACTGTGATTTGAAAATTGATTGTTGCAATTACTTCTACATTTATGAACTCATTCATCTTAAATTTTAGTATTATTGTAATCCTGTAAGTTTTAAACCATGTCTTGTATCAATCTCATATCTAGAAATAATATCTTGGTACAGAAAAATTAAGTGGTGATTGGACAAAGATCACATTCTTTTTTGATAGACCAATAGTAGAAACTCACAAAGATTGAGATTAATTGACTTCACAAGAGTGGTAGAACTAGGGCTAGAACCCAGGATTCAGAGCATCTTCTTGGGGATATTCTAAATTCTTTGAACTGCATTACATTGGCTCTTAACACAAAGTAATCCCATTTTCTCTGAAAAAGCGAGTGTGTGCAATTTACGACATGCTAATCAATGACTTTAACTGATTGATTCACAAATATTTATTGAGCACATATCATATGATAGGCAGTGAGGATATAACAGATGGGAAAAGACAATTCATAAAGCTTTCATTCTAGTGGGGGAGTAAATGATAAATGCACGAACCAATGAAAGAATGAATAAAAAGAACAGATAGATAGTTATGGTGTATGAAGAAAACAGTAATGGAGACTAATCTAGAGATGTGGACAGCAAAGGTTCTCTTAAGGAGGTGATACTCAGAGCTGTAGCACTCACACCCAGTGTGGGCCTGCCCACTGTTCACACTCAGAACTATGCCAACTCATCAGGGGGCTAATTTAGTATCACACACCCTTGACCACAGCATCACACACTCTAGATCCAGCCGTCCCCAAAGCCCTGGCTGTGACTGCGTTAGGGTTTAGGGGGACATCTGACACAACCCCAAAGTGACATCTTCACCTCTGCAAACCCTGGAGGCCTGATCCTCTGTGGCTACGAAGAGAAAGGAATTTCCTACAGATGATACATCAATAAGGACTGAAGTTTGTATGCAGGGTGGTCCCAGAACCACCTTTTAAAGGCTTCTACACACTGAATGTTATACGTCTCACCATTACCACTAATAGACAATGAGAAACAATATTAAACTGAAAAAAAATGAGAGCCCATGAGAATATTGAAGTTGAGATAATTTTTTATTCTTTGATTTTTTTTCTGACTGCGAAATTCTTGCTAAATTCAGTTTAAGACAGTTATTAAAGCTGTTCATTCTGGAAGCAGACTATTGGTGTTCAGTTCTTAATTCTGTAACTTACTTTGGGCAAGTTTGTCTCTAGCTGGTTCACCTTTATATGGGGACAATAAGACCTTCCTCACCAGGTGCGTGGTTTTAACACCACAATGAGTTGTGTGTACGGTGTGTGCGTATACGGTATTTAGAATGCTGCCTGGCACACAGTAAGGCTTTACTGAGTGTGTCTCTCATTACCATGCCTTGTTGTCTGTGCTCCCCGCTAAGCCGATGTATCACATGATGATTAGAAGAATCTGGAACTTCTTCAATTTGCCTTTGAGTGGCTTCAAGTTAGTTCCATCGTAGAAGAACTGCCAGATGCTTTAAAGGATTTAATTGCTACCAATCTAATTCATTGCTACTAAAAACGTGCTGATTTTTAAAGAATTTAAAAATCCCCTGATGTTAGTAGGACCCCGGGGTGAGTGAGTGGGGTGTCCCCTAAGCCAGGTGGGCCATTTGAGTTAGCTAATCACTGTGCCTTCTAGGGTTGATAATTCTTTTTCTTCGTAATGACACATAGCTATCACTACTCAAATTAGATAGTTTGGGGATATAGTATTAATAAGGGAGTTGGTATTTGTAAGCTTTTATTTAATAAGATGATGGAAAAAAATCCACCCCTTTTAAACTTTGTTTGGAAAGTTTGTATAGATTCATTTCCATTCTTGTATAAATTACGTGTAAAATAATATCGGGAGCACAGTCTAGGGTTTGGAGAGTACTTGGGACCTTGAGTCAGTTATACACATAACAATTGAGAGAAACTCGAATGTGAAGTCTCCTAACTCCTTTACTTACAAGTCATGTGACCTTAATCAAATTGAACTCTGATCACATGGAACACGGGAATAATAGTGCTACATCACTGACTTGTTCTAAAGATTAAAGCTGTTCTACGTAAAGTGCTCACGAGGGTTCTCTCATAAAACTACTCACTCACTGCCATTATTACTTCTGTTGACTGCTGCTGCTGCTGCTGCTGCTGCTGCTGCGTCCCTTCCCGTCCTTCATCAGTCACTATTTTCCTTTTCGGATGCACTTGTATTGGTACCGGGAATCAAACTCGAGTCCCGGCGCTTGCAAGGCAGGCGGCGGACCTACTGAGCTAAATCCCCAGCCTACAGCCTGATTTTTTTTTTTTTTTTTTTAAGCGGCCTTTCCACAGGTATATTATTTTTTGCCTCAGAGATTACTCACTTTTACTTCAGTCACTGAGCCAGCAGATGGCAGAGCTGGTATTCTAGTGACTGCATCGCTTTTTCTTTATTGGAGGGGAAACAGCGAAAGAAACCCCACTTACAGCTGGAGTCAGCATCAAGTCCTCCTTGGCTGCAGGAGTCAGCTGTGACTGACTGCCTTCCTAAACGTAACCCAAGCCCTTAGCTCTGTTGCTCTGGTCTTAATTCCAAGCTATTTCTTCTTGGAAACTATGCTGAAACTATCACAGATCAGCGGGTATGTTTTTGATTTTAATAATTTTAACTTGAAATAGCCCATTTTAAATTAAATCTCTAAAGTGAGGAAAAAAGAACATCGGAAGTATTAAAAAAAAAAGTCATGCGAAGATAATGCAACATTTCTTTTCCTGTTTCAACAGATACGTCATTTCAGCACCAAAAATACTTCGAGTTGGAGCCTTTGAAAATATTGTCATTCAAGTTTATGGTTACACTGAAGCGTTTGATGCTACAATCTCTCTTAAGAGTTATCCTGATAAAAAAATTAGTTATTCTTCGGGTTATGTCAATTTATCCCCAGAAAATAAATTTCAAAACTCTGCCTTCCTAACGGTATGTAGGTATCCTTCATTTTGTTTATGTGTAGAGAGAGTATTTCTGATGAACATGTACACGTCTGAATACTGATAATGTAGAGATTTTATCATTTGCGCTGCCCTACCACTGTGTGGTTAGATGTTTATCGGTCCCTAATAATAATAATATGAAAGAAGCAGGAAGTTCTCTACAGCATCATGTCTGCTTTTTGAACAACGCACGCAAATGGTCACCTTCTTCCTCTTGGAAAATAAAACTGGGCTAATGTGAAAAGATTTGGACATGAATTTAAAATGCTTTGTTGCTATGAAAATTATCATCACAGAGGGACGGAGAAATATGAACATGAATGTTGCTTTGTGGTGCGTTGCAAAAATCCATGGGTGCTATTGAATGTTTATTGAAGCTCCAGTATTCTACAATTATACCCTCTAAAACCAATACAATTACTAATTGCTAAAGTAAGTTGTTCTCACTACTTCTAATTAATAGAACAACTGTGATTGAATAACTTCTATTAACATACTACTATGCATATACTATGCATTGGTTAGAGACATGCTTGTAACTGTTTTTTTATTATAAACTCTCATACTTAATGAAAAATTAGAAAAACTAGAGAATATCAGACTTGGAACAGGGTCTACGGTTCCTTTCGATCAGTGTTTCTCTAAAATGGGTTCCTTCAAGACCTGTCATGTAAAGGTACAAGATCCCAATGATGAATGTAACTGTACCATGTACCTAAAAAGTACCAATAAACTCAATGAGAAAAAAAATAAAATGGGTTCTTTATAAAGGAAATTAAAAATTGAAATTCTATAGAGTTTACAGTATTGAGTTTTTAAATATTTTTAATTCATTTTGGAAATTTGTTGTATATAAAAGTAATAGGCATAGGTTATGCCTAATTTTGTGATTGTGTATACTTTAGTCATGTAAATTATTTCTTACTACATTATAAGTAATAAACATGGAGAGTCTGCCATGTCTTTTAACCTTTGCAAGTGATATGTATATTACTCATGTTTGAAAACATTGATCTAAATAGATTAATTTTTTACGGTAAACACCCTTATCTCGTAACAACTATTTCTGCTTATTAGGCTCTGGAGGAATTAAAGTTCATTTCCTGAAAGCAGTATTTTCAGTAGACACTCATTTATCTACTCATTTTGTAGACAACTCACTCAGCCATGAGCCTCGAGTGCTATTCTCCTTTAAATTTAAATCAGTCAAATGTACCTAAGAACAAAACTTCAGTTCCTCGGTCATGCTGGCCAGGTTCCAAGGGCTACAGTCTTCCCTGGCATGGATTTAGAGAACTTCTAGCCTCATGAAGGCTTTTTGCACAGTACTAAGATGGTCAAGTGAAAAGTAGATGAAGGCGAGGGGATCAGACAGAGCAATACATATCATGAGCTTTCAATTTATCTTAACCTTATAAAGTGTCTTTCTTTGCCAAATATTTGATATCGTGCCACAGTCTTTCCTTTAGTGTAAGTCCATTGAGTAGAGTGCCATGTCTTATTTATTAGCTATTACACTTTTAACAAATCATCCTTGTTCTTTTGTTTCTTCCTTAAAAGTGAAGAAAGAATTTAAAGACCCTTGCAAAGCAATTTCAGTGTGGAATAACCATGGGTTTACTGCCTTCCAAATTTCTACAATAATTTCACATTCCTACTTCTATGCCAGTTGGTTTTAGTGATTAACTGTTCTCCCATATTTCCAAAGCCTAAATTTTCATACAAACAAGTTTTTTTCTTTTTCTCACATGTTGTTATATATTGAATTCACATTATTGAAAGTAAAGGGGATTTTTGCAATGACAAACAGAAATCGAAAGTGTGCATCCACCCAGTGACAGCAGAAGTGTGTGACAGGACTAAGTGACCAAGACAGCAGTCCAACTGTTGTATAGAGCAAATGGGAGTGTGGCTTAATCCAGTGAGCTGATGAATGGAAGATTTCTATGAGCTTCTATAGTAGTAGTTTTATTAAATGTGTGTAAAATTTAGAAAACATAGAACCAAAAAAAAAAAAAACCTTTCAATTGCTTTAAGCTAGATTTTGTTTAAGAAGATAGACACTGAAGGATTTTGGACAAAATTAATACACCCTGCTGTCTCCCATACCCCTTTTTCCATACCTATTTTTATTCTAATGAGATGGTTTCTGGAAAGTTGACGTGTTTTATAAGCTTAGAATTAGTTTACCCTTTTTCATCAATATTTTCTTTTACAGATACAACCTAAACAATTGTCTGGAGGACAAAACACAGTTTCACACGTGTATTTGGAAGTTGTATCAAAGCACTTTTCAAAATCGAAAAAAATGCCAATAACCTATGACAATGGATTTCTCTTCGTTCACACAGACAAACCTGTTTACACTCCACACCAGTCAGGTAGAGTGTAAAATGCTTTTTTCTTGGAGAGGTGTAGGGGTCTGACACTATATTTAGAGGTTTGTAACACCTGGAATTGAATGGAGACAGGTGTCCATCTTGCTCAAAACGTTCTCAACTCCTAAGAACTTTATAATTTCCAATTGCATTTTAAATTTAAATTTATAGAGGAATTGCCAAATTGCAAAATCAGTTACATCATCTGCACTATCAGTTATTTCTCAGTAGGAAAAGAGAAGCTTTTTAAACACTGTAAAATATTGGTAGAACTTATTTACAGAACAGTTAAAGACATAATTTCATATACAGGTTTGACAATGGTAAAATCATTTTTTATACAGCCACGTTTAAGAAAAACTTCACTGACCTTCAAGATAATTCCCAAATTGGAAAAGAAATCCAACCCAGTGTGATTATATATTTCAGCAGAGTATAATAAATAAGATCAAAGAAATGTACGGGCATTAATTTTCAAAGGGCATCTGCCAAAGAAAATGCATGACTTTACTGTTCTTCTGTTAGAGTTGAAAAGGGCGGTGATTGGAGAATGCCTGGATTTATAAGGTGCGATTGAAATACGCAGTGAATGTTTAAATTAAAAAAAATTATTTCAGTACAAGAAACATCATTAATTCCCCTCCTTTTATAATCAGCTCAGAAAGGAAGGCCTCGAGACCATGGGAATATTGCTATTATTTTAGAGTATTATTGCCAGAATGCTACCATCTCTTGGCTCCAAGATGATGACAAGCTGGGTCCTCTTAAGCTTAATCATACCTAGAAACAAGCATAACCTCACCCTTTTCTACTCTTACATCAGAGGATGCTTTATTGATTGAGTCCTGTTCACATTATCTACATCTTAAATAAGTACATAGCCTAATATTCAGAGCCTAAGACCATTTTAGTGGTAAAGTCTGTCCTTCAGTACTGCCTATTATTTCTTCATCAGAACTGTAAGAAGATGAGATATTCTCATTATTCTAATAGTGGAGGAAAACAAGAGCACTTCCTCTAAATACTGACAGCCCATCCTTGAGAGGTTGTTAAGTATAGTGGTGAAAAGCAGACTCTGGAACCAGAATGCTTGGATTCAAATCCCAGCCTGGATTGTTATTATCTAAGGGAGCCCATGTGAGTTAGACTCTCAGAGGCCCACCTTCCGTATTTTTAAAATAAAGATAATAATATAACTTCCCTTCTGGGATTGTAAAAATGAAATGAAATGTGTGTGTGTATGTGTGTGTGTGTGTGTGTGCGCGTGTGTGTGCAAAAGAGACAGCGAGAGAGAGAGCCCTTAAAATAATGCCTAGCACATATTAAGCACTAGAATAGCATTTTTCATTACTACCTAATCTATGGAATGGTGCAAAGGCTTTTTTTACACAAAAGAAAAGTAATTACTTAAAAAGTAATTTTTAAAAATTGATTAAATCTTGCTGTCTATAGCTCTAATGTCCTAACACATTTAATCTGAAGAGTCTTGAGGGATTTTTGGTGTTTGCATCTTTAGGGTATGCCATGACTCATCTAACAATTAGAGAAAAATCATAGGATTTGCTCAACGACTATAACACAACAATTCAAAGCTCCCTCTGGTAGTAAGAGCTATTGGAGGCCTTGTTGATTTTTGCAAGTGGAAGAGTGTATGACATCTGAATCAAACTCTCAATTTTCCATTAATGTTTAGACCTAATATGACACTGTTTTATGCTCCCAAATATCACTATTTTGCCACTATGAAATTCACGATAAATAATGGCCTGATTACTGATATAGCTAATTTTATAGCATGGATGTCCTTCCAAAAAGCTATGTATGGAAGTGTGTATTTCAACAAAGTGATGTCTACTTCCAATTGACCAGGAAAAGTAGCTCTTTAAAGAAATGCCAGAGGATTCTCTTTAAAATCGTAGTGACATATGTTTAAAAATTAATATTTTCTTTCTTTGTACTGTGTTTTTTTATGTGTGGATTATGTGTTGAATTTTAAAAAATGAAATTTGTCTCTTTTAAGGATGATTGTTTAAAAATCAAAATACTGTGGTTAGCAGTTTTTGATGATATCAATTATTTTTACAGTAAAGGTTAGAGTTTATTCACTGAATGATGACTTGAAGCCAGCCCAAAGAGAAACTGTTTTAACTTTCCTAGTAAGTATTTTATGTAAATAGTACTTACCTCATTTTTCTGGACAATAGTCTCGAGCTTTTCTTCACTACACTCAGTGGTTTGGCGTTTCATAAATGGTTACTAAAGAACATGGACATAGCTGTGCACAGCTTTACGTCTACAAATAGACATCTGTTAAAAGCTCATTAAAATGAAATTTGGCAACAGGTTGAAGGACTTTGAACTAAGTCCTAAATCATGTAAGTACATCCTTAGTGATTTCTTTTTTTAAAGAACACCCAGCAATCAGTACAAAGTAATTGAATATTTATTATGCACAAGATTTTTAAAATTTGTGTAACTTTAGATAAAGAACTCTATAATCCAGAGGCTGAGGCAGAAGGATGGAAAGTTCAAAGCCAGCCTGAACAGCTACACAGACAAAACAGAGTGAGATGAGGGATGATGTAATTCTTTTCTAGAATGGAATAAGTGAAGAAATCCTTGAGCTGGGTCTTTTTGTTGTTGTTGTTTTTGTTGTTGTTTTTGAGACAGGGTCTCACTATGTAGTTGAGACTGAAATGGAACTCACTATGTAGCCCAGGTTGGTCTCGAACTCACAGCGATCCTCCTGCCTCAGCCTCCCTCAGCCTCCTGAGTGCTGGGATTACAGGCATGTGCCACCACTCCCGGCAAGCTGGGTTTTAATGAAAGGCATTGACTTAGGTTGTTTTCAAATAATGAAGGCCACCTTTCATCTGAAATAGCATGAGTTAATCTGTGGGGACAGGAAGAGATTAAAAAATTAGAATCATTTCAAAAATAAGAATAGTAGATAAACTGGTGGACTGAGGGAAAGTTTGGAAGAGAACTAAGCAGAGGCAACATTAGGTGGAATGCTTTTCTTTTTCCCCCTATGGGAAAATGTCACTGATGTGACTGTGTTGCCATGGTGGAACATGAAAGAAGCACAGCCCTGGCATCACAAGCAGAAGGATAGAGGCCAGTGAGCCACTGTGACAGTTGTCCTGGGGAAGAGGGGTGAGGAAGCTGATCCCAGAGCCACAGGCATCAGCATGTAGGAAGCCCCTGGAAATCCCTGGAGAAAGATCATCTTAGACAGACTGTGTCCACTGGACAAGGGAAGGAAGAGCAATTGGGAAGATATTCAGCTACAAGGGTCAGTCCGTGCTCAGCATAGGCTCTTTTAAGTCTTACAGTTTGTAATCCAAGAAAAAAAAACATATCTTAAAATTCCCACCATGAAATTTAAGCTGTGGTAAGTGGTGCTAAGTTTTCTAGTTAAGGCTGAATGGCACCTTCACATAGAATCCAAAGGTCAAAAGCTCATCTTCATATTTGCTAATCCAAACACACAATGAAGCACATGGAGAAGCTTTATGAGCGCTTTCAAGTTTGTTTAACCATTTAGAGAATTGTACCAGACTCAGAATACCCATATTGTATATTCATCAAATGTCTCACTAAAAAATACAGCTTATAGAACAGTTGTTTTGGAAAGTTTCAAAGCAGCATACAAAAAAATTAGGTTCTGTCCTGAAAGAATTAAAAGCATGATGGCATAGTGATATATGCACACCCATATTTATAGCAGAACAGTTTGTAACAGCTAAATCTTGGAAACAGCCCAAATGCCCATGAACTGTAGAGTGGGTAAAGAAGATATGGTTTGTTTAAACTATGGAGCACTACTCTGCCATAAAGAAGGATGAAGTTCAGACATTTGTAACTAAATGGATGGACCTTGAGACCATCCCCCCCCTTTTTTTTTGGTACCAGGAATTGAACTTGGGTCCTTGCATTTGTGAGGCAGGCGGTGGTTGAGGCCATACTCTTGGGATCAATCAGACTCACATGTTTAAAAACCACGTTGTTTCTTTGGTGTGAGAAACTGAAAGTGGAAATAAGGACTGAAATGTATAATGGACATTGGGAAATGGGATGGAAGTGTTCCGATGGGAGGGGGAACAAAGGGGGAAGGAGGGAGAAAACAAAAGGACAAGAAAAAAAAGTGAAAATGGAAGGAAAAAATGGAAACAAAACTTTTGTACATGGGGTAGGAGTCGGGGGGGAAACGGGATAAAATAAAATAAAGTGTATTAAATTTAAACATTAGATTCTGATATTTTTAAAGTCTGCTAATTTTGTATCAGTCTCATTGAAAACATCAGGGTTCTTTAATTGTTGTTTGCGTCTTATTACACTTCTTTTTAAAACTTGCACAACGAACAGCGGAAGCTCTCTGGTATAATGAGGAGAAACGAGGTGGTTCCAATGAGAGAGGGAGGAGGCTTCAGGGGAACTTTGTCTCCTGTTACATTTAACTGAATTTTATTGTGCTATTTTTAAATTGAAGATGTATTTGTTTATAGTAATTTTGTAGGTCAAAGATTATATAATCAATTAATTTTTTAAAAAATGTGGTAGGTTGGGCTGGAGATTTGGCTCAAAGGTTCTTCTGCCTGCCTCGAAAGCACAAGGACTCAAGTTTGATCCCCAATACAAAAAAAAAAAAAAAAAAAAGTGGTAGTCTTTGAAGGCTGCTTTATGGTTTGTGAAAGGGGTCTCGAGCCCCCTTTGGGCGCCCCCTCCCAATCAGGTCACTCACGCACCGAGAGGTCTGGCAGGAGATCTTTATTGAAGGGAGTCAGGCGAGGTACAAAGGCCGGGAGGCGAAGAAAAAGAGACGGGTACCAAGGGAAGGAGTGTTGGCTCATTTATAGGGTCTTGGGTGGGAGTTTTGCAATTTTAGGCGAATTAGCTGTTTTTTAACCTATTGCAGGCCACATTGCCTTATAAGGTTAACGAAATTTAAGTTGGGAAAACGAAACTTAAGTTAGGAAGAACCCGGAAGTCAGATATAAAATGGAGGAGTTTAGAGTAACATGTACAATTTCCTAACAGTTTGAATATCCACCCCCCGCAAAAAAAAACCCAAACCAGTCATCATGTGTTAAACTCTTAACTCCCTTTGTCAGTGCTGGAGGGGGCCCTGCAGGAGGATGTTTAAACCCTGGGGCTCCATCCTTAGAGGTAAATTAAGGGAGCCAGTGAGCTCTCTGGGAGTGGCTTTGTCCCGGAGGCGAACTCTCCCAGGGACTTGCTCGCCCTTCCATTAGTCAACCAGAAGATGAAGCAGGACCAGAGCCCTGCCAGGTGCCACTGCCATCCTTTTGGACTGCCCAGCCTCCAGAGCCGGGCGCCAAATAAACCTCTGCTCTTTATCAGTTAGCCACACTCAGTGTTTCTCTCATAGTAACAAAAACAGAACTAATGTAGGGCTGTTTGTTTGTATTCAAAGGATCCTGAAGGATCAGAAGTTGACTTGGTAGAAGAAAATGATTACACTGGAATCATCTCTTTTCCCGACTTCAAGATTCCGTCCACTCCTAAGTACGTACAAACACTTTGTTAATTTTCTACAAAAAGTGTATCTGAAACCTCTGGTTGTAAAGGAGATTAGCAGACACATGGAGCCACCCAGTGTTAACAAAGAGTGCCATAAGTACAGATGTATGAGATCTTTTTAAACCTAGTAAGAAGGCAGGCTCAGTTTCCAGCCAATCAATCAATAGAAAAAGAAAGAAATTCCCAGTAGTAGATCTGTGCATGAAATGCCTGTATTCCCTGTTACTTGGGAGCTGAGGCCAGACCATGTGAGGCCAGGAGTTTGGGACCAATTTGGGCAGCATAGTAAGTCCCTGTCTCCAAAACAAAACAAATAAAAAATCCCCCTCAAATCCCAATATCTGTCTCCTGTTCTCTTTGCACACTCAAATAAAAATTGGGAAGCAAAGGTAATCTCTGGACTCCTTCTCATTAAAACCATCCACTTCTGTCTCTGAAGAATTCTAATTGTCTAAAACGCTGGTCCTTGCTGTGGGTGTTAGGAAATAGTTTTCATTTGTGTGGACTCCTGGAAGGCACTCTCCAAGGGGGAAATTGTGTTTTCAGGGCCATTTCTTCCACTGACCTCATATGAAAGGATTTAAGAGCATGTTTTAAAAGGATTCAATTTGACATGTATTTAGCGAACACATCCCTACACCTCTAAAGCACCATAGGAGAGATCCAAAATGGAGTCAAAGAACCCACAATCCCTGCTTTCGTGGAGCTTAAAATAGAATAGGAGTGGTAAGACCATAATGACTACAATGCAATTCAGGGCACACTATTTCATGGTCGTTTTTCTTCTGATGCCCAGGAGAGAGTTTTCAGTTGATTCATTAGACTAAATTTTTTTGAAACTTGGGGGTGGAAATTGGGCAATGTAAATAACTAGAGCAATTGTTAAGTTGTGTACTTAAAAACAAATACCACGTGCTATACACTACCGACCTGGACCTACTGTTACACTGCTCCCTTCATTTTCCAACCTCACCTCGTGCGGCTTGCCCCAGGACAGACAATAGATGGGCCAGGGAGTCTCTCAGGATGAGTGCTTTCTCACCTCAGCTCCTGTGCAGCTGTTGGTCCTCTGCTCAGAATGGGCTTCACCACGCTCTTCTAAGGGAAATGCTCCCTCCGCAAAAAGACGATTCGAGATGCGGCCTAGGGTAGCCCCTCACTCGCTTTTACTCTCTAGCGAGGCATTTGTGTGTTTGCTTCCTGACACTTATCTTTTTAACTCTTTTGTTTTGGTACCAGGGATCGAACTCGGGACCTTGCACTTGCGAGGCAGGGGTCAGAATAGCTGAGCTAAATACTCGGCCCTTCCTTGACACTTATCTTGGAGCAACTGTTTCCTACTTTGCTTGCTTTTTTATTCCCCTGCTAGACTGTAAAGTTCTCGAGAGCCAGGGCCCTTGTCTGTATTGCTCATTGGTATGTTTCAGCACTCCAACGTAGTAGGTACTTGGTCCACACTTGCAGATTGATAATGATGATGATAACCATAATTTTGTTAACATCGCCATAATGGAGGGATTAACCTACATGTTAATTATTAGTCCATGAACATGAAAGATTTCAAAATAAGAGCATTTTAAATCACCTAATAAATACATTAGGGATTTGTGAGCCAGAAGAAAAAGAGCATTGGACTAGCAGCAAAGGTAATTAACATATAAATAAAGCCAGTAATATAACATTAACATTCATTGACTGTATAACCCATCTGCATGGTGGGTATTATTTTTTTCATTTCACAAATGAGGTGAAGTAACGTGCTCAGGTCAAACCTGCTAATAAATGGAAAAGTGGGTATTTGAACTCCCACGGATCATTAATTAACTCTGTGAAGACCACAGCCTCTCTGTCTTGTTCATTTTTTATCTCCACTGCTTTAGTACTCAGCAAGTATTTTCAAATGAAGGCTGTTAAATTACCTCCCTCTTTTAAAAAACGATAGTAGTTGGGTCGGGGATTTAGCTCAGTGATTCCTCAGCCTGCTTCGAAAGTGTAAGATCTGAGTTCAATCCCTGGTTCAAAACAACAACAACAACAGCAAACAAACAAAGTCTGCCCTGAAGAAATGGTAGTAGGGCCAGGGGTTTAGCTCAGTGGTACCATGCCTGCTTGACAAATGCAAGGTCCTGAGTTCAATTTTTGGTACCGAAAAAAACAAAATCCTACTTTGTCTTCATTCAGAATTTCATCTTTGTGAGGTATAAATATAGATTTAAATTTCTAGAAACATTATTATGGATTTTCTACTATATTGTGGGCTTCAGTATTATGTTTCCACAATGAAACAGGATTAAGTCAATTCTCAAGTTACCATCAGTTCTTCAAATAAAAGCTAATGGCTAAATTAAGATAAAATACCTGGAAAAAGAACACAGTATATGTAAAAAACCTAACTACCAAACAATTTCTATTATCCTATTATTCTGAAAACACTGTATTATTTCTATTATTGCTTAATATCTCTCATAAGTAAAATATTTACCTAGGGTATATCTCTTTAAAATAGAAATTTATCCAGGTATGGTAGCACACACCTGTAATCTCAGCACTCAGGAGGCTGAGGCAGGAGAATTGCCATGAGTTCAAGGCCAGCCTGGACTGCATAGTGAGTTCAAGGCTGGCCTGAACTATGTAGTGAAACCCCCATCTTGACCAATAATAAATAAGCAAATAGGAATTTATTATATTTATATTATATATTGTATTTCTTCTGCATAAATTAAAAATTATTTGATGCAATCTATAATTTTAAATATTTTGTTTTCACAGATATGGTGTGTGGACAATTAAAGCTAAATATAAGGAGGACTTCTCAACCAGTGGAACCACCTACTTTGAGATCAAGGAATATGGTAATTTCTGACAATTATAAGTTTGCTTATAGAAAATATTTTTTCAATAATTTCTTTCCTGAAGGTGTCTACTGCAAAATCACTCCCAGATGAAGAGGAGGCGACCTGCTGGGAGGGTTGGAAGTTCTGCTGAGGGTGGGAGGTGGTGCTGGTGGAAGTTTGAACGCTTAAATTCTAGGTCCAGCTGCCACATGCTGGCCTTGAGCAAGTGACCAGCTCTAAGGATTTGAGTTCCTTGTCAGAGACTGGAAGAAGTCTAGTCCCGGAGAAGAGCTTGACTTGTTAAGGTCCTCTCTAGAATTAGGATTTTAGGAGAAACAGTCAGAGATGAGGCGAATGAATAGTAAGGATGAGTAAGGGGTGAAGTGATTCAGAGCAGATTTACAAGCAGTGGCAGAACAAAGACAATTGAATTTTCCTAATCCAGGGTCCAACCCTATTTTCCTTCTAACTCACAGATCCCTAACATTATTATGACTAACTGATGATTTAGGATATTCCTCTTTTGAAATCAGTCATATTCAATAATAGTTAGCATATAAGTAACTTCTTCATTGCGTGTACCAGTTTGCAATAGTCCCTGTGTGCTCTGCTATCCAATTTAACTTTCTTTTGGATTGCAGCCATTTTTATTTGTTCAAGAGATTCATCACGATAGGGAGAAGAAGAAATACACAAATTCTAACAAATAGCCAGGAAAACAGCAACCAAAATTTGTTATAATGAAACTCAATCGTAAATACAATAGGCTCGCATGACATGAATCTAACTGACCGCCCTTCCTCCAGGTGCTTTTGTGATTTTCCCTGTGTATCTGCAGCTCATCCACCCCTCCTCCCCGGGAGCTGCCCTCCTCAGTTCATCACCAGGCTCCCTCCTGGGCTGCTGCAAAAGTCTCCTTGTTGGTGTCTCTGCTGCCAACCTCTATTTATTAGCCAGAATAATCTGGAAACATGAGTATCACCACATGATTTTGTGGTTGAGAATTCCCCGATAGCTCTACCTTCTGCTGATAATGAAAATCAAAGTCCTTATTTTAAGTCGGTCCCTGCCAGGCTCCCCCTCAGCCTCATTTTTATAACCTCACTTGCCTGCAGCACACAGTGTGTTCTCTCTGCCTCCACCTCCCTTTACTCCTTACCCAGCCAACTCCTTGGGTCTCAGGTCTTCATTTGAAAGCCACTTACTCAGACTTGAACTCTCTTTCCTGGGTAGGATCCACTGGTCCTGCCAATGTTTGTCATTGTAGTGTAGAGGTGTAATTATTCACTTCTGCCTGTCTTCAATGCCTACCTTGTTTGCTAGTGTAGCCCTCTCGGTAGGCAGTAGCCAGTAGAAGGATGGAATAATTCCCTGTGCCTCATATCGTGGACAGAGCGCACCTGCCTTGGTCTTCAATCACATAGGAACACAGCCCAGAGCAACAAAATTGAATCATTGCTTTTTACTTCTAGCTTTCGCTATTTAAAAACCTGTGAGCCATATCTGAAGCCAGGTATCTCAGTGTCGGTCTTTGTCTACAATATCAGGCTCACCCAGTGAACTAAATCTCCGTGACTACAAAGTAGGCTATTAGAATCCATAGTTCTTATACATGCTGTGAGTTCATGGTACCTTGATTCACAAATTTAATTTGTCCTACAATTTTGGAAATGATGGCCACGTTTGTATTTGTGTGGCAAGGATGGACGTGGTCCTTTTCGTCACCTGAGGCAGACTGCAAACAAAAACAAAATTTGGCCCAATGCTTCTGTCTGCCAACCAAATTGTTCACAAACAAAAATGTTCGTGAGCTGAGAGACCACTGTGTAACATTTCAACATATTGTTTTCTAAAATACCAAAGATAGAAAAAAACTCAGAATTTCTTTTTCCCTAATTTTAAATTCTCCTTTAATACATTTTTCTCATATCTTATTTTCAGCTTTCTCTTTCTAAAAATCAACGTCAAGTTTTTATACTGGTGCTTGGATGGATTTTTATCTACTAGACAAAAAAGGGAAATGCTAGATAAGCTGGAATTTTTCTTTTCTATCTGCAATTTGATAAATGCTCATTGAACATATACTATGTTTAAGAGTCACAGAAGAGTGAGAGGGTGAGATATACCAGGGAAAACAGAATGATCTGTTTTTGTTTTTTAAGGAGTCCATACTCCAGTGGAAGAAGTAATCTGTTGCCTATAGTAAATACTATAATAAAAATATAAGCCAGATATTTCTGGTGCATTAGGATGAATTGATTGTGATTGCTGGAGTGGAAAATCTCAGAGATGAAGATGATGATGATGGTGATGGTGATGAAAGGTGGATGATGTGTTGATGCTACAGCTTGTCCAACTATTTCAGAGAAAAGTAGCCGTTTGCTGTGTTTTAAAGGCTACTCTAATTTAAATGGTAATATGGCCTTTTTGTTTCTGTTTTCAGTCTTGCCACATTTTTCCGTTTCAATAGAACCAGAAAGTAATTTCATTGGCTACAAGAATTTTAAGAATTTTGAAATTACTATAAAAGCAAGGTAAGAAAGTTTTGTTTTGTTTTTCAGATGAACCAGCAAAATTAGTGATGGTGGCCCAAAGTGAGATCTGTGACTTATTAGCCAAATCTGCCATGACTTTGGAATGACTAAGAGACTTCATGTTAATACCATAGTTTATGTCCTTAATCTGATTTTAGCTAATTCTGATTTTAGCTTTGCTGGTTATTTGCCAGTAGAATACATCCTGAAGATTTAAGCTCAATGTGCATGTTTAGAAACCAGCATAACTTAGAATATTGAGACTAAAATATGTACCCTTTGCTTCTCTTCATTTTTTAATGCCTTAATCAGCCAGCAAATGCTGTGTAACTATTTCAAATCCCAGTGCTTTAAAACCACAAGCATTAAGGAGTTAACTGGGCAGTTCTACAGACTGGTAACAGCTGGGATCCCCCATGAGCTGGCAGGCAACAGGCAGATCCACTGGGGAGGCTGATCCAGGAGGGTCTTATTCCCAAGTGTGGCAATGGCTGGCAGTTTACAGGGACTGAGTGACAAGAAACGTCTGTGTATCTCATCACCTAGTGACTATCCCATAGCGGCAGCAATGTTGTGTGTGGGGGGAGTGGTCAATTAAATTCTCCCCGAGGACTTGGTACCCACCCACCATTCTCTCCACCACATTTTTTTCTTTTTTGTCCAAAGCAAGTTACAAGGTCAGCCCAAGTAGACTCCTCTCATACATTTTGCCTGCAATACATTGCAAAGGTTGTGGGTACGTGGATAGGGAGAGAATTGGGGTTAATTTTCTAATCAAACTGTCACAAAAGCTCAGGCCATTAGAAATGACAATATAACATAGTTGTTAATAATCGACTTATACAATTGCATTCCTAAGAAGTCTGCATACATTAGCACATTTAATCTTTACAACTCTCTGAGGTAGATATTATGACTATCCCTATAAACCAAGAGAAAACAGATTTACCTGAACTTTACATTTTTTGTTCAAGATGTCACAGCTAGGAAGCTGCCTAGCACGTGTGCTCATGCAGACCATGACTTCGAATGCTACCTTAGTCTTCCTCTTTTGTAAGCATTTATCCTGCCAATGGAGTGCTTATCGTTTAGTCTATACCAGCATAAAAGTCTCACTTGGAAGAAGTGATAGAAACTGATGTCCTAGAATGGAGACACTTTATTTGTTCAACCTATTAGTAAGAAAAGTTAGCTTTGGTTATAGTATTATTTGTTATGCTGAAAGTTTACTTTGTTCTAAATGGAAAAAGGAATGAGCAGTTCAGATTTTCTTTTTCAAAAGAACTAATCTCATGCAACAGTGAGATGGGGCATGCTCCTTTTAAAGACATAAAGGATAACAGGGATGCGTAGGTCTCTACTGATACCAGAATCATCTAGGAAGCAGTGCTGCCTGGAGGGTCCA